ACAAAAGGCCGAAATATGGGCATTGGTGAGAGCTTTGATATTAAGCCAAGGAAAGAGAGTTAACATATGGACTGACTCCAAATATGCTTTTGGTGTAGTTCATGTTCACGGAGCACTCTGGAAAGAGAGAGGACTTCTTACTTCTCAAGGGACAACGATTAAACATCGGGAAGAAATTTTACAATTGCTAGAGGCAATACACAAGCCCTCAGCAGTGGCAATCATGCATGTTAAAGGACATCAGAGAGATCCCGGACGAGAATTTCGAGGTAATCGACAGGCTGATCAAGCGGCTAAGCAGGCCGCAAGAGAAGTATGGACTCAGATGGTTCTTTTGCCTGTTTGAAATAATCCAGCAATAGCATATATGGAAGAAAAACCACATTATTCACAGGAAGATGAGAAATTAGCTCAAATGACAAATGCAAGGAAAAATGTTAAAGGGTGGTATATTTCCCCCATAGGACAAGTGATTCTACCTGTCAGAATAATGAAAGTAGTGCTTGAAACAGAACACAATAAGTGCCACTGGGGTGCAGAAGCATTGGTAAAATTTTTGAAAAATGAGGTTCTCTCAAACCAGATGTTAACATTGGCAAAAAGGGTAAATGCAATGTGTCCTATGTGCATAAAGAATAACCCAGTAGTCAGGAAGCAGGTGCAGATGGGAAAATTACAGATAGGTCAGTTACCGGGAGATTACTGGCAAGTAGATTTTTCTGAGTTGCCTAAAGCCCAATCCTATAAGTATTTGTTAGTATATGTCTGCACCTTTTCAGGATGGCCTGAGGCTTTTCCCTGTAGGACTAATCAAGCAAAGGAAGTGGTAAAAACTCTCTTGAGGGAAATCATCCCAAGATTTGGAGTTCCCCTAGGGTTGTCCTCTGATCGAGGACCGCACTTTATAGCAGGAATAGTACAAGATGTGTCGGTTGTATTAGGGATAACATGGAATCTCCATACACCATGGAGACCACAGTCTAGTGGACAAGTTGAAAGGATGAATCAGACATTGAAAGGTCAATTGAAGAAAATTTGTCAGGAGGCAAAGATTCCGTGGCCCCAAGCAGTATCCATTGCCTTGTTGAGAATTAGGATCAAACCAAGGGAGAGGATAGGAGTAAGTCCATATGAAATATTATATGGCAAACCTTATCATGCAGCTACCTACCAAGGGGATCCTCATATAGTAGGTGATCAAGCAGTGTTTAATTATGTGTTATCTTTAAATAAGACTCTCACAGCCCTCAGAGGAGCGTTGCAGTGGAATCGACCTTTGCCCCTGGAGAATCCAGTGCACGACATTTCTCCGGGAGATCATGTCTACGTGAGAAACTGGTCGGTGGAGCCGCTGAAAGAAACATGGGACGGTCCTCGCCAGGTGATAATGACGACCTACACGGCAGTAAAGGTCGAAGGAATCGACAGCTGGATCCATTATACTCGGGTCAAGAAGGTTCCAGTCTCGTGGTCGGTAGAACCTCTCTCACCCACAAGGATGGTATTTCGAGCCAACCATTGAGGATCATAGTGTTCCTGGGGTTGATAAGTTTAGCAGAAACCACCGTGAGAATTGAGACCCCGGATCCTTACTTATTTGTACCAGAGCATACTGATGTGAATTTAACCTGTTTATTTTCAGATGACCAGGGAGCTGAATTAAGAGATGTCCATGTCAAGTGGAGATGGAGAGATCAAGACCAAATCATGACAGAAGGAGTGACAACAGTTTGGGATGCTACACAACAAAAAGGTTACACCGTTCTGCAGGTACCCAAAGTGTCAAAGCTATGGAAGGGACATATATGTGTGTAGTTTGGATTTGGGAAAGTTTTGATTATGGACATATAGAAATACAGACAATAAACACGACTCAGAAGACGGTGACCAAAGTGCGAGTTTTACCCACTAGGAAACAATCAGACATGTGGGATGGTCCTCCTTTAAAAATCAATTGTACCTTCCAATTTGATGATTGTCGAAAATCAGTTAAAGTAAAGTGGTGGAAATTGAATGTGGCAAATCAATCTTGGGAATCACAAAGTCAAGGAGTTAGCTGGTGGTCAAATAGTAAGGGAGGCAAAGGGTGGCTGAATATTTCTAATCCCAGAGTAGGAAAGACAGAAGGTACATTTCTCTGTGTAGTCTCATGTGGAGAAGAAAAAGATCACGGGATAAGGACAGCAGTAGCCGTACCACATCAAGGAATAAGAGTTAGACCAGAACATAGTGTTTATCCGGCCCAGGAAGGAAGAGATCTGATTCTAAGCTGCAAAATTCCAGAAGGACAGTATTTTGAATATGGGTGGTGGTTTAAGGGACAGAACTTGAAAGTTGGAAAAAGACATCAGATTGAGAAGAGAGCAGATACAATAGTTTTGAAAATCAAAGAAATACAAAGAAGAGAAGATGAGGGCCAATATACTTGCTGGATAAGTAGAGATGACTGGTGGGACACTGGAATTACTGTCGTCCACGTAAGGACTGAAAGAATAACCCGACAAGTAAGTAACCTGCAGATTCCAGATAGAGAAGTAGAACAAGAAAACCTAGTTGTAGGCCTAATTCGTGATTTTGGGAAAGTACAGAATGTCACAAAAATCACTGCATGTCTCCCTATGCCTCATGCTGCAGGAGACCCAATCCCATGGGGAATAATTCCAGTACCGGAAATCCCTAGAATGTTTAAGAATACTACATGGAATTGCAGATTTGTGACTAGAACATGGAATGAAATGACAGATGCATGTTTATTGAGCGACAAAGTGACTAAAAAACAATGTGAACAGATGCCTGGATATTTTCGCTGGGTAGAAAGTGGGAAAATTGGAAAGTTAGAAGGAAATTGTTTGATCTCAGGTTCAGTAACACACCCATGTTCTAAAGTACAAGTTCAAATAAAACGAGAAAAGCAAGAAGAAGTGTGTCAAAATACTACTAGTTCTACAACCATGGAGGAATGGCAAACAATTTGGGGACCCAGCTTACTAGAGACATATAGTTATATTGGAAAAGTACAGTGGTGCATTCACTGGAAAGGGAAAAAGAATCAAACTTATTCTATAGGAAATAGAGGGAATCATAATTGGAGGACAGAAACACGTACAAAAGAAGATTGGAATTGTACTCGAATATACACATGTGATACCCCAGACGATGAGATAGGTTTAATGCCAGTCAAAACACTCTTGCAGTTAGGATGTGAATGTCGGGGATATAATCATACGATTAAAGGATCTGTGAAAAACATTGATTGCCGTACCACTACAGTTAGGAGCCCAGGAAATTTGGTATGGGTAATGGGACATGGCCAGTGGACTACCCACATGCCCATAGATGGTCCGGTTGTACCTGTCACACTAGGGATACCTACTCTCTGTCCATTCTGGAAGCAAGATAAGTTAACATCAGTAGAAATACAACCACAAAGGAAAAGAGAAGTTAGTAAAGATATTGATGACCTGGGGTTGGGAGATTGGCATGAACCATCAGCAGGAGTTAAATTTGGATGGGCATTAGAGCCTCTATTTGCACCAATCTCAACATACCGGAACAGAGAAATGCTGTTTAAATTAATGGGACAAACTGAAAGGTTAGCAGCAGTCACTAAGAAGGGATTTAAAGATCTAAATTTACAATTACAAGCCACCTCTAGAATGACCATACAAAACCGCATGGCATTAGACCTAATATTACTTAAGGAACATGGAGTTTGCAGCTACCTGCATGCAAAGGACGAGCATTGTTGTGTACACATCCCAAATGTCACTCAAGAAGTAGAGAAAGATATTAGCCAATTAGAACAAATTGACGAGAATGTTCATGAACTGCAAAAAGAAGCAGAACATAATTGGATAGGACAATTATTCAGCTCCCTAGGTCTTCATGTGTCAGGATGGATATCTTCTGTTATCCAGTACGGAATATTAATTGTAATAATTATTGTCATAGCCATAACTGTTTACAAGTGTCTTTTAGGAATGATTGTAAAAGAAGGTCAACATACGAGACGCATCATGAAAGCTATAACAAGAAAAGAAGTAATCTCACCGCAAAATGAATCACCTCCTACCTACCAAGAAACTACAGCCTGAAGATTGCTGTATTTGAGCATCCTTGCAAGCAAAGCCTGAAGAATGCTCAAAAGGGGGGACATGTTGCAAAGCAATTTAAATTAGTAGTAGAATGGCTAAGGCTTAGTAGAAGAGTAGGCCTAGAAAGCAACACTCCAAAGTAGCAACCTTGTTTGTGTGTGAAGTGGAAACCATAATCAAAGGATCTAGTCAGGCATGTATGTAACGATTTGTTACCTAGGATGTGGTTAAGGTCTGTTAAACAGTTTCTAGGGATAAGACAACTTAAGCAGATTTATGATTGGAGTAGATGATTATTAATTGTTATCAGTATGAAGTATGAGCTTGTTTGCAACTGCACCTGGTTTGCTGTGGAAACTGTAACTGTTTTGCCGTGGAAACTGCACGTAAACTTGTTTGTGTATAAAAGCTGAACTGAAAATGAGGGTCTTCGGAATCCTGACTTTGGACGCTAGTCCTCAGGTTCCCGGGGCCCCGAATAAAGCACCGCATAAACCGGCACTCTGTTGGTTTGTGTTTCTTTTGGTTACGGGCAACACTTTGAAAAAGTTTTTATGCTATACAGTGTACCTAATCTCTTTTTAGAGGATAAACAACTATTTTCTATTCAAGTTTTGCATAATAAATTTAGTACAAAATTTGCTATCACATATAGTTTTATATACATATGTATGGTTTCTCGCTCTCTATATACAGATCTCTCACATCACAGAATAACTAAAAAGTAGATGAAGTTTGAACATTTACTGTTCAAAGCTGAACACAAAGTAAGTTGGTACGTTTTTATATTCTGACAAGATTAAAGTCCCAGAAGTACTGAAAAGTGCAGCTATGCAGAAGCCAAAGTGATACCTAGTAAGGTGAAATTAAGCATCATTTTTATAAACAGAAAAAATATCTACATTATCACCTGATAATTGACTTTGCAGCAAGAATGCGAACTTGATGGTGACTGTCTGCAAGGAAATGTGGGAAGGCATCATTCACAGGTAGATCTTCATTTCTCACATTAAGGATTGCCCAGTTGCAATAAGGATCGGCCTGAAGAAAATTAATATTGTGATTTAAAATCTACATTAGATGCACTGAAAGATGCAAAAGATCTTTAGACACTATTTTTAATTACATCTTAAGTAAATATTTAGCATGCTAATGAATGTCAGAAAATCTGGGATTACCTCAAGCAGGGCTTTCATGCAGTTTAAAAGGGCCACTCTTACTGATGCAGTGCACTTCCCTCCTTGAGATAAATGCCTAAAATAAGGAAAACTTGAATAAGGGAAAAAGTTGCCCACAATTTTGAAAAACAGCAAGTTAGCTTCTGCTGCTCACAGTTGATTACTTTGTACTCAAAAGGCACGTTTGGGTCGATTTGACATTTTTATTGGTAATTGCAAACTATTCATTTTTGTTTGCTGAAGTTATCGCTTGTAATAATTATTGATGCAACTCAGCATAGAATCAGTCTTTGTTAATTCACAACAGTATAGGGTTTATTGTTTCAATACTATCTTAAGGACAAATCTTTGCTACAGATATAACATGTCAGAAAATCCAGAAAGTTAAATTCTGGATAAAGATATCATAGTATACCAACAGCAAGACACAAACAGCACCACAGTCTTCAGACTGATAGCAAAGTTAAAAATTAAAAATCAAAAATTTTATGTCCAATAGACTTCTTCATTAGATAACATACCAAAAGGCTCCAACAACTGTCAAAAATTGTCCTCTGGCACTCCCTGTCTCTTCAGCATGTGCATCGGACTGGGCCAATCCTACTGCTATAGGGAGCAAATTATTCAGAATTTCTTTACAAACTTCTTGATCTCGACGGTACAAAGAACACACGGTACTGTGAAAAAAAGACAGAAAATCCTGAAACACTGAAAATCCACCAAATCCTCTAAAACAGATGCAAAACACGCTGAAGAGTTTCTCTCTTACGAAAGAGGTTTCAGAAGTATATCTGCATCCATTGCAGGCAAGAGGTGTTCTTCAGTAGGGAGCTCCTTCAAAAGAACCAAGTACTGTGGAATAAAAAAAAAAAATGAAATAAAAAACCCAAACAAAACCAAAATGGAAAACAATACTTTGTAACTGGAAAATAATACTTAAGAAAATAAGTAGACAAAAAGAAAAATTAGGAAACTTTTTTAGTAACTCTTACACAAAGTCATGCAGCAAAGATACCTATTGTCAGCTATTGTGTGTTAGACTGGTCATGTTTTCATGCAAAGACTGTCACACAGTAATATAGATCATGAAATTTTTAGTTCTGGTAGTAAAAATATTTCCTTTGTAAACTAAAACATAGATCCTATTCCACTACAGAGACTGTTTTCAGTTATTTAACAAATAATTAATAATAAAGGCAAGATGTTATACTTCTTAACTCTTTATTTTCTGGCTTAAAAATTCTAACTGCTCTTTCCCTGACCACAGCACATTTCAAAAACACTAGAATTAGCCATTTTAAGTCTTCTCGGGGAACTGACAACAGGAGAAAGACAATATGTAACTGACAAGACTTTACAAATTTAATAACAGTACAATTACAGAGGTCGGTCTGCTGTAAAAAAAGCTCACACTCACCATGTGCAGATGTAATGGCTTAGTGCTATCAAAGACACTGCCATCGGTAAGCATTAACAGCTTCTGCCGTATGTCAGAGGCTCGGAAGCTCACTGTCTGAATTTGGACTGTAGTTACAGAAATACATAGGAACCTCACAATTTCAAGGAGAAGTAAATCCTGCTTTGTCAACTGTTCCTCAGCTAATGGGCTCAAAGCACCTGAAAATAAGATTTCCGTGTAAGAAACGTTTCTCCAAGGACAACAGAAAAGGCGGTAATATTTTAGGTCTTTACAAAACTAGTAAGTTCTCAAACAGATAAAGGACAAGCACCTTTACATTTATTTGTTATTGAGCAGTAGTGCATCAGTAACAGCTAAAGTGTATTTCCCACTTCTATAAAGGCCCTCTCTAACACAGGTTTTAAATTTATGTGGCCATACACACAGCTGATTTCTCCATCAAGGTTGAAATGGATTCTGTAGAACCATCCATGACTGTGTTCTTTTGTACTGTTAATTATTTCTTAGGATATATTTTAAATTACAGATTCCCCAAAATTGAAATGATGACAATTACTATGTTAATATCCTAATATCCCATGTTAATAACCTAAACAAGATAGTCAGACATGTAATTTTCCTGTCACATTTCGGACTCCTGTAAGTTCCAGCAATTGCTAGCTTTACTTATTAGAATATTATCTGGATAAGATACTTATAAAGACATTTATTCAACATGACAAGAAAACAGACCAGCTACTGTTTGTGACAGTAATATAACACCCAGATTTCCTTCTCAGTCAACAATAAAAAGACATAGTCCTGGTTAAACATTAAGATACACAGCATTTTAACCAAGAATGTAAAACAAAAGAGAGCATCAGTACTTGTAGCTCGTAACAGAAATAGACTGATAGATTCATGCTCCTGCCCCTCTGAAGGTCCAGAAATATTAAAAAACTGACCATGTCAAGAATTACTCTTCAGGAAAAGGAGAAAAACTAAACAGCCCTACTTTTAAGAAAATGCAGCACAGTCTAATAAGAGACGGGTATTCTATAAACATTTTTTCTTGTCTCTTCTTTGCCAAAACTTCTGCCTGGCTTTGAAAAAGTTAGCTACCTTCTCTTCTTGCATTTTACTACTTATAAAATAAAAAATAAATTTCTCCTTTCTAAAGAGCTAGAACACTTCATTAACATCTTTAAAACACTGATGAGAATTAATTGCTTAGGAAGTACCTGGTTCAACCATTACCTGTTTCAACTACTAATATAGCATGATTTTGTATCTTGCTATCTTTCAAGCAAAGAGCAATTTGTAAAATCAAGCTTTTGCAAGTAGTTTTGGACGTAGAGAAGACTTACCTGTTACAGTTTGCATATCCCCAGATTCATTTGTATCACTGATGTCAGTCACTGAATGATTATCGAATAGATCATCAGATACCTGGTTATCTACTTCCACTATACTCTCCTCAGGATCATTCCTGAGATCCATTTCTCCCAGTACACTTGGTTTTCCAGTAGCTGTCATCTGACAAAAACACATCCTTTTAAAGTTGGCTTTTAAAGACAGAAGAAACACCGCAGACACAGCACAAGAAGAGACATTACAGTTCCTCAGTAAACTGGAATAGGTGATGACAGTAAGAGCTACATGAAACTGATGAATTTCATCCTTTGGGGTAAACCTGTCATCTACACATATGAACCATCTGAATTATTTTCTTCAGGATATAAGCTTCCTTAGACAGATACTAATCTCTGTGTTAGTTTTTTTAAAACAGTTCTCTCTACAAGACCCACAAACTTCTCATCATGTTTCATTATTACAGAGAAATGAAAAGGCATGTGACTTTTTTGGGGACACACTAATTACTACTTTCCCTACCAGATGACAAGTTAACAGAAGGTAAAACTCTCAGCTCTTCCTCATCTACAAAAACAAAGGAATTTGCCCATCTGGACCTGACTACAAGAAATGTGCCAAAAAGAGAAGTTTTAAGTGAAGTGCCACACTACTACTTTTCCCAGTGAGCCATTTACAGTTAAATAGTCACACAATAAACACCAAAAAAAAAAAACCTTCAAAAGTGCATTAAAGTTAAACATCATGTGTTATAGAATTTTTTGTATATACTTCTACTGTAATGAAGTATTAAAAAAATGAAAAATAGCATAATTTTGTTTTTTAATGTGAACTAGAATGCTAACCTTAATCACATGTTATCCATCTGCTCTCTTTTTTTCCCTAAGCTGTGTTCCATTGCTAAAGAAAAACATTCCCAGTTAGGGATTCTCTATAAAACTCAATGTATTTTGATTTTTTTCAATAACAGGTATCTTGTTTGGTTTGCCTCCAAATTACTGTGCTGTAAAAACAATCCTCTCATAGAAGAACACCGTATTTAGAAATAGACAGAATGTACTTACGAGATTTTTGCAAATATCTATGAGATCGTTCATAAATTTTGATGTTAACAAGCGTAGGAATATATTAGACAATATCTTATTAGCACTGTTCTGTAAGAAAGTAAGATGTACAGATACGCTAATTAATTTTTATCCAGGAGCCATATGTATGATATTTAACTTTGTGATCTCATTAATAAAGAAATATAAACTCCTTTATAAACTTTACCTTGGTACAATTGCACAAACATTTTGTACACTGCATTATCAAAGTCCTCAGTGAGTTGATCTGGTTATCTTCATTTAGTTTGTTTTTTGACTGAGAAATGCTTTCTCCAGCATAGTGAATAAGAGACTAGTAAAAATACAACATGGTTAAAAAACCTCAGTCGAATTCCTTTGTACATTTGCACATACACCACACACATAAAGACAAAAGGATATGATTCTCATTCATACAGTTTTGATATTCATAGTGTGCATCAAAATTGAGTTCAGACTTTTTTCCATGATTTTCGTTTCGCTCATTTTGCTCCAGAAGAGACAAAAACATGGCCTAGACCTGCTTGAAACACTAATATTTTCATCACAAAAGAAAAATTCAGTATATCTCCAAAATGTGTAAGCAAGAAACCACCTGTTTAAGCAAGAAACCACCTCAGGTAGTAGTAACAATAATAATAGCAGCAATAGCTGTCTTCATACTGGCTTGAATCATCAAACTATCTTAAATTCCTGCATAAAAGACCTAGAAATGAAAGGACTCGTTATCCTATAAGTAGCCCTTTGTCTACATGCCCATGATTATTCCATTTTTTTTAAAGGTGTGACTCAGAAATGTATCAATATTTAGAATAATCTGCACTGCAAAACTGGCGTACCAGTACACTGACAATTTCAGTGACTCCTCTCTTTCAGAAACAGTAATACATTTAAACCTCTCTAAACTGCCTTTTTCTAAGCAGTAATCAATGCTCTGAAAGTGTGTCAACATGAACAGAATTTTAAGAATTAATTTATATTTAATGGTTTATTTTATTTTTAATAGCTCCCAAATGCATTACTGCTTACCTTAGCATTCTGAAACAACTCTGATTTACAGGCATCCTCTTCTTTAAATATACCAGTGTAGCAATAGCAGCCAAGAACACCAACCAGGAGACTGACACATCGGACAAGGTGTTCAGCAGAAAGAACCTTAGACTAAATCAAATACACAGTATAAATACCAGTAGTTTATCACCACAAAACATAGAATTATTTAGTCTTTTTAAAACACTTTATATATGAAGATTTGCATCCTAGTGTTTTGCATGGCAGCTGCCTCAGCTCCTGAAAAAGTTCTTTCAGCTCTTCACGTTATAATACTAGCTGTATGTCCCATGGTCCTTAGGCCTCCATCCTTCAAACCACTTCTAATTCCCTCTCTCCTTTAGATTCCATCATGGCAATACTTCCAAGCTCTTAGCATGCACTCTGTTTATCTATTTCACCTTCTGCAAGGACACAAGACAGTACGAGCAGGTCAGGAACTGGATCACAGGATAGTTCAGACTCAGCAGGTCTCTGGTCCAACCTCCTGCATACAGCAGGGTCAGATTAAGGTCACAACAGGTTACTCAAGGCCTGATCCAGTCAGGGCTTGAAAACCTCAGAGGATGCAGACTGCACAACCTCTCAGGTGAAGCAACCTGTGCCACTGACTGACTGTCCTCACACAGACAGAATTCTGTCTCACCTTCCTATTGCAGGAAGCACTGTGTATGAAGAGCATGGCTCTGTCTTTTAGACAATCTTATAGGAACTGGTAGGCTTCCCCAAAAGCCACTTCTCCTGCAGGCTGAACAAGCCCAGTTTCCTGTCTTCCCTCACAGGGCCAAGTGCTGGAGCTGTCACCATCTCAGTGGCCTCCACTGAAGGCATTACGTGTCTGTTTTGTACTGGAAGGCCCAAAACTGGGTGCAGTATTTCTGATGCCATCTAAAGGCAAAGAGTAGAGGGGGATAACCAGTTCCCCTGAGCAATGGCTCTACTCTTTCTCATGTAGCCCACATTTGCAGCTTTCTTTACAATTACTCCTTTAGAGAGCTGCATCTTTTTACAAAACCTATTTAAGAACTCTATGTCTCAGGCTAATTCGGCTGAAAACTGGAAAAAACTTGCAGCATTACAGGGGCACAGAAGTCGAAACCAACATCACAAAAGCAGGGTAACTGATTTATGTGGCAACTTTGCACATGCTTACACTTTGATACAGCTACTACATACTCACTCATACTTATGAAAACTATGGATATTTTGTGAATTATGTAAATAAATACAGACTTCTCTATTTTGTATTATTGGATACAATTTTTAAATGTTTTTGGTTCATTATTAATAGCAGAAGGAATGAAAATCCATACACTTTGCCTTGAAAATATATTGTTTGGGAGCGCAAATGTAAGGATGTAACAGTAATTTCTAACTTACCTTAGGAGCACAACTGCTTAAAAGCTTTTCTGACATTGCTAAAAGGCAGTTCTCCAGTGTTTCCCTAAGATTTTGGTTGATGGCAAGTCTTGAACCCATCACATTTTTATCTGCAACATTTACTGCAAAGTTAGTGAAAATATCCATTTCATCAAATGTTGTCTGCAGGTACAGCTCTTCGACATCAGAAAAACTGTTTTCTTCTTTACCCTGCACATGTTGCTCACTTGAAGAAGAGATACAGTTTTTACTTTAGCAGCCAGTATACAACTTACAAGTCTTTAAAAGTACTATTTAAATAGAAGAAATAAACAAAAGCAAAATAATTTATCTTTTTGTGCTTCCAAACTCTGGTTGACCTTTAATTTCTGACATGACTTTCACTGCGGAATGGACGCTACCATTTTAGCTCTAACTCAACTGCAAGGAAACATGAAGCCTGCAAACAGATCATATCTCCTACTGCAGTTCATATGGCAGTATCTTTTTTGTGTTAAGATTGCTGACCTCAATCTACTTTACACAGCTGGAGCAGAAATTCATAAAACCCCTAAAAGCAGTATTTTTAACTTCCAGTAGGAAAGTCTTATCCTACATTAGAACAATTGATACACATTTTAGTTTCATTAAGAGGAAACTAGACATAGTCCAAAAGCTTGAACATATACATCAGTGAAACACGCAGCAGCATTCCTAGCTTAAGTATCTATAATGATTAATTTAAAAACATACCATTTAGCATCATTTTGGAAGAAGTTCATAGCAGCTCTACAGTTCTTCATTGTGAGACTCACAAGAATTTTTTGTAATACAAGATGAGGAAAATCACTGTAAAGAAAGAAAATGTTTTTATATTGTCTTGCAATCAGACAAGCTCTTAGGATTCCTGAAGTGCATCAAACATTAGGCAGATTAACAGTTTTCCTGAAGAAAAACCTAAATTTACACTGAATATTTCTAACACATAGATCATGTACCTGAAATTATATAGACAGATATTAGGTCCCCAGAATGACATTCTACAGTAAGCTTAAAAACCCCATAAACTCTGCAGAAACATTAACGTAATAAAATTCTGCATTAACGTAATACACTTTTCCCTGCGTGGTCTTCTGTGTTATAGGGTGAGCTTACACATAAAATTATGCCCCAAACACTTTACCTGCAGAGTACAGGAGGCAATTCTGCACATTCTTCTATCTCTTCCTCCAAATTGCAGGACAGGACCCATTTCATTATTGCCTCCCTTAATGCGGAATCCAGATTTCTTTCAGAATTATGTTCTATTCCTGTGTCCAAATTTTCTGGCACTGAATAGGCAGACATCACTAATGATAAACAACATACAGAAGAACTGTAACAAAAATGGAACAGGATTTGTGAGAAACAATGTGGTATTTGTTGATCAGCACTCTAAAGCAAAGTCAGTATTTCTGCATGCACAGGAAGCATCGAGGACATAAGCATGCATATTGGTTAACGCTTTCATTAAAATCTTCACATTTTCATTTTTCTTGGCTACTACAGACATTTCTGATCTATTTTAAAGACTGCTTCAGAACATTTATTTCAGAATAAAAATTTAGAAGAAAACATACTTTTTAACTTCAAAAAATCAACAGATCTGCCAGTCAGATTTTAAATTTTTAGTCCATTTTAAATGTGAAGATGCTTGCCTTTCCTCTTCTGCCTCTTGCTTTCAAACTTACATACTTATGGTCACTTCAAATGCTTAAAAGACAAATGTTTGCCATTCTTAAACAGAAACAGAGCCACAACATCGATAATATTGAGTAACACAGTGATTTTGGTTGCACAATAAAGAGGAATGTGAATCAGATCCAAAACACTACCCTTACTTTCATTTTACCTTGAAGGCTTGCATGCAGGTCCTGAAAAGATCTTCCAGAGTTCTTTATCTGTTACAACAAGGTTTCCTTGAATCATAGCTCCAAGCAGCCCAAAGCTCTCCACTTCGATTTGCTGGAAGTTTACGCTGCGAATGATAAGAGTCCAAATCTTTGCCCAGGTTCTCTGGAGCTCCAACTTGTGGGTGCTTTTCAAATCAGTTTTCTGGTTTTGGCACAAAGCTACCTCTGTGAGACACTTAAGCACGTATGGGGTCCTCTCTCCTCGGCGCTGCTGAGGCAGTAACTGGTGAAGTACACTGAGTAAGGGAGGTAGCTCACTGCTAGGAAGACTCATGGGATACTTTGATATTAATTGAATTGTAATCTGTAACCTTGAAAATACAAAGTGAAGCAATTAAGCAAACATACATAAATTTGCGTTTTCAGCAGTAAATTAACAAAGCCTTCTCCAATTGCCATTTCATGTTTACACTTTCCAGTACTGAGCTGATTTCTTTACTATCAAAATATAAAGATTCAATATTTCTACCATTTTCACTTGTAAAGTCTGCACATCTAGCCTCACTATCACTAATAATTTCTTACAACTGACTTCATTGATTTTGATTTCTTACAAGCCAAGTTCACACACTTCTGACCACAAGTAAGGAAATTTTCAGGTCAAAAAAAATATTTTTCTCCTTCTTCTGGACTAGCCTGTTGTAAACTCTGACACAGAGAAGGACCTCAAACGTGAAATGACATGAATAGGAAAACATTACAGCAACATCTCTGCAGACAGGAAAATAAAAAGATGTTTAGCTGGGGATGGTAAGCTGGAAGGGTTTAGTTTATATCAATGGTTGCAGCTAGAGTCAAAAACATGGTGGGATTCTTGGGGCTGTCCCGTGCAGGGTCAGGAGTTCGGCCCTTCTGGGTCCCTTGCAAACTCAGGATATTCGATGATTCTATGAAATTACAGTACCTGCAGTATTTCTTGGCCATTGGCACCTCCACACAGAATAGCACGTTAACTTCTCAACTGGATCCTAAACAGCCATTTTGCCCCAATACTGCAAGCAGTAAACACACACTCACACAAACCTGCCACCCCAGTGCAGGAACCAATCCATGAGCAGCTATGCTGCTCTGGTATCTTGTACTGCAGTTTCCAAGAAAAGTCAGAAAGACAGAGAGGAACAGTAACAGCAAAAAACATCCAGTGTAATCTATTTTAGCTAAACAATCAACATGCCTGGGCTTAGGGCTACAACTGGTAGGTTCTGGAAAAGTCCATCTTTGGTCTTTTAATAGTAACTTGACTCCTTGCTACACTCACTGCTACAGTCCTCCTGCAACAGTCAGCAAAACATGAAGCTATACCTCCAGTTCATGGGAAGCAAAATACTCCTCAATCAAAGTCCAAGGTAAAAAGCAGGCCTTGCAACAGTTTTCAGGCCAGGTATTACAGAAAACTGCATGAACTAGTCCAAAATGGATAAACTGTTAACAGTTGCTATGCTATAACACAGCCAGATTAAGACAGCAGTAAATATCATGTTTATTTCCTAATACTCATAAAGCAAAAGTACCAAGACCAGTACTCACTGCTTTCCAAATACTGTGAGAATCTAAGTTCAGTACTTAGATATATGATTACAGCATGTGCAGACACCCAACTTGAATGCACAACATATTCAGGAGAATGTTAAATGTAAAAAGATGTCTGGAGTGATACTTCTTTCATGTAAAGATGTTATTACCAAGGTATGACATCAAAATCCTTCTGGGATATTTGCATGTTGTCTCGAATGACCTCCCAGCCTAGTTCAATCCTCCTGCGCTTGTTTGGTACTGTGTCCTCACTGGGCTCTCTTTGTGTAACGGCATAGGACTGGGTAATTTCAAGGACTTTGGTATCCTCTGTGAAAACCTTTTATTAAGAGAAATTTAAAAGTATACAAATGAAAAAAAAAAAGCAGTATTTGCAAGAAAACTGAAATGCCAATCTAAATTAGTCCATTCTTTACTGTGTATAAAGCCTTCTAAGAGGGAACCAGAATTATTATTTATTATTCCTTACTCTAACAAGACCTCTGCTTATAGCCTAACAAGAAACACTAGTGAAAATCCAGCATACTACACTTCTAAGCTGTACAAAATTAACAACGAAACACAATAAAACACGGATATGAATACCTCAGTAAATTATTCTGAGGAATAATTAAGTCGTATTACTTTAAAAAGCAAAACATACAACCCAGTAATTACATAGTCAAGTTTATATTAAAAAAAAAAGTTACCTGATGACAAATATCAGCCATTAACTCAATTAAATTTTCCTTTACAGCAATATTACGTGAGCCTGAAGAATACTTTCCTCTACTACTGATGAGATTTATTTCATTCACCAGAACATCATACAGGTTATGCAAGATACTTTGCCATTTTGTAAAGTCATATGCACCTGTATATGCAAAAACAATGAAAACATAATGTGTATCACCCACTCAGTATTGAAACCTACCTAGGCAGTGCAAAATACAGCCAAAATCAGAGTAAAGCATATAAAGTTCAACAAATATAGGCCTGCAAAGCAAGTTCTATAATGGAGAATGGATAAAGTTAAAAAGTGAAAAAGAGAGAACTTAATCAGCACATACAAGTAATTAAGTTAGGAATTATGTTTCTAGTAAACAATTCTTCATCTATCTGGAAAAAATACAGTGAAATGCAACGGATAGATTTGTACAAAGTACAAAAAAATATCCTTACAAAAATTATGCGAGAACTGAAATAGGCCACGACAAACACAATTACTGAGTGATATTCTCTGAGCAGTTTTATAGTATAAGGCACACTTAATTGAGAGTAGTAATTTCTGGTCTTAAATAGACCTGGTAAGATACCAAAATATGTGGCAATCTAAACTCAATCTAAATAATTATTTCCCTTCCCCAAAGACTTAGTGTTTTGATTTAGCAAATAAAATCACCTTTTGACTAAAAAAAAACCCCAACTCCCCCCCTCCCCCGAGTTTTAAAGGGCTTAACACAACTAATATTCTTAGTGCATAAAATTTGAAAACCCTTTTTCATTTTCACTCAGTATTAACCTATGGCATAAAACTACTGACAGATAATCATCACTTCATCAATGTTTCCAAGACTCAGTATCAAAATTCAGAGTTGGCACAGTAAATTCAACAACGACATACAGCAATAGAAAAAAAAATGGAGCTTTTTATTGTACCTCTTCCCTGAGTTTTTGCACCCTTTGGATGATGAATATGAACTTGGAGACGAAATAACTCAATTATTGATGCCTTCAGGGAATCCTTTGGTCTATAGTGAGTCCATATATAAAGCAACGTAGGCAAAATTTCTTCCCCTGCTTTACAAATCCGTAGGCGACAGTTGTCAGCAAACTTATTGCAGAAGATATTCATTGCTCCAACAATATGATCCAGGCCTGCACTATTCTTCTCCTGTCTGTAACATAAATCAAACATGTACATTTCCAAAAGAAACAATCTAATTTTTTTCATAAGAACTGTTTAAATGTAAATACTAGCAAGTAATTACATATTATTTGCCTAACAAATGCAGAAGTTATTAGTTTTTTAAAGAAGTTACTAAATTGGCATTTAAAGAGAGAACAAAATATATCTAAAGAAGTATTACCTGTTATTACTCAAGTCCAATCCCAAATACTTAAAATTACTTATTTTCTAAAAGTAGGTATCAGCACACAAAAGGAGCACTTGCAACATACCTTGCAGACTGCATCGCTTTTGAAAAGAAGATAAGCATATCAGAACTCAACCCATCAGTTTGGAAGCAGTACCCCCTCATAAGTGTGTGAATTATCCTAGCCACCAAGACTCTACTAATATTTCCAGAAGGTTTGAGGTATAATTGGCTATACAGGATCAGCAACTCTGCAAATGTATTAAAAAAATACACAAATACATAAAAACATATATATTATAGAGGATTACATAAAAAAAACCTTGATGAAAAATAATGCAATAAAGATATAGCAACCACCACTGTGTAGTTAAGAATCTATGTTTTTACTTTCAACTGCACCAGACCCCTGATTTTATAAAGAGAAATCTGACTTCCACATTGTACCCCAAGAGTTATAAGCAAGCATTAAGGCAGAATCACTAAAAAAGGTTATGGTAACCTTTACAAAGCTCATATATCTCTCATTTAATAAAAGCGACTTGTTCCCTCCAATGGATTAAAGGCTCTCTTCCTTTAGATTTATGGTCTTCAGTCCTGCCTCACTCCTGTAACTAAATTACACTGTGCCCCTTATGATCTAATATCAAAATTTCTTCTGTCATGCTTCCAGCTTTTGTCCATACACAGAATCCATGTTCCTAACTTCCATGTTCCTAAACAAACTAACCACCACATTGCAACCCCCATAGGCTCCTGGCTTCTTGCCTCATTCCCTACCCATTTAGGCTCAATTCTACCTAAGTACCCAGTTCTTGTTTCCTGTTTATTGCTCTGAACTCCAGCTTCCAACCTCCTTGTCTTTGCTTTCTGTTCCAACAGAACAGAGGCTGACAGCATTCCTAGTCTCAGGCAGTGCTCCCACACAGTTCCAGCTTTCCCTTCAACCTTCAACTTCCAGTTCTATCTCCACAGCCAAATTGTACCAACTTCTTTAACTTCAGAGATCTCATCCTCAGGCTCTTTAATTACCCAGCCACATAGAATCATAGAAGGATTTAGGTTGGAAGAGGCCACAAAGATCACCCAGTTTCAACACCCCTGCCATGGGCAGGGACACTTTTCACTAGACCAGATTGCATACAGCTCCATCCAACCTGGCCTTGAACTCTTCCAGGAACCTCCCACCCCGAATGACTCCATTTCAGTCGCTTTGCTTTACCAGCCTTCACCAGGTTTTTTTTGCCTCCCTTTTCACTCCCAGCATCACCAGATCCCTCTTCCGAGTTCTTTGCAGGCTTATTTCTATTCTGTAGTTAAGCCACTCTCTTCAAGCTGCAGAGCAGAGCATTTTCTCATAAAATGCTTTTCAGAAATCCAAACTCTGACCTCAAAGCACTCCACTACAGACAGTACTTCCAAATTTTCTCCACAATTGTACATGCAACATCCAACAAACTAGACTATAAAACTTCTAATACCCTTTTTGCTTTTCAAAATACTATCAACAAATGTAAAAAGGTGAGTTGAGAGGTTAGTAGATGTCAGATAATTCAGAATACACAAACATTCTTTTTCATGCTAAATAAATGAACTATCAAATTGGAGTCAAATCCAATGCTCTGAAAAGTGAAAAACTATCTGTGCATTTCCACTCAGTTCAGGTTGCATGCTCTATCATTATGCAACTTTTACATCTGTTATTTTGCTATTTACATCTTAAGCTTTATAGTTTTTCTTTACATAGGACGTACGTATAAGAACATCAATTCAATTTTTTTTAGGACCTTCATGAGCCATCAAAACTCAGATAATAAAACATAATATTGTAATATATTAACTATATTAAACCTATACCAGTCAGTTCCTAATAATTTGCAGACAACTGCACGCTAACACTAGCTTTACTGAGGTTTTCTCCAGCACACACATTCCGTGGATTTCCTATAGGTGTTAAGCCCCGTGCAGACCATGCAGACATAGCCTGACTGTATATAAACGCAGCAAACAATAAACAGTATGCAGAAAGAAAAAAAAAAATCAATTCCTAATCTTTGTTGCTTTGTTTATTTCAACTGTAAGCCTTCAAGGCTGACACTGCTTTACTCCATATTTTGGGTAGGATCTCACACCACAGGGCCTCAACCAAATTAAAATGCATCTAAACACGTTTCTGTAGTAGGAAAAGACACTTCTAAGTAGGTTTAAAAATGTTACCTGACCACTGCTGCTGGGATATCTCACACCAGTATTTCCTTACTGAGAGGATGTCTTTTAGGAGTATGTTACTACAGTCAGAACCATATGCAGCACAACTTGTCGGATCTCTTATAATTTCCATGACATAAATCAAAAGTTCCTGACATTTCAGCCTGGGTCCTCCTACATGAAGAAACATGAGACTGCTTAATTAACCCAAATTAACCCAAATAAATCTGTAATTGTTTGTAAATGTTATCTAATAAAAAGAAAAAAACCCAACCCATGGTTTTTTGGGTTGTTTTTTAATGAGAAAAAATGAGAAAATATATCAGTTATAGACAAATTGAATAATTAGAAAAAGGAACTGTGAACATCAACAAGGACAGAGAAGGAGCACAAAGGACTGATTCATATTAAGATATTTAAATAGTAAACATCTGTAAGAGAGTAAGATGAACCCTACACTAGCAACTAGTAAAAATTCAAAGTTGAAAGCAAAGTAGTAAACTAAAACAGTAACTCTATATGATAATACAAATTACTGACTTTTATTAGCACATCTGATGAAGTATTTGACCAGGCTTCCAACTTCCTGTATCTTTTTCTGTCTCATAGTTTGGGTTGAAGCAGATGCATTCGGTTTTGTCTGCTGCAGATTTTTAATTTCCTTCTGAAAATATTTCTGCAAAACACTTCAAAAATAAAGAGATATTAACCAAGGATCTGCTCATTTATGACTGAAGTAAAATAGGTAAATGCTGTTTTAGTCTAAAATGCCAGTTCCTGTTCTTCTCACAATTCTAATTATCAAAGATTAAAACTAACTGATATATATTACAAACCAAGCATGACGGAAATAGTCTATAAAAGGACCTGTAAGTTTTGAAGATAATCCAGAAGTAACTCAAATACGAACCAAACTTTCCTTTAAACTTTGCATCATGATAAACATACAATTTAAAATCAGTAAAAAAACCCAAAGCTGTCTTTTTATTTATGCTGCAACATTATACAGTAAAATAATAAGAAATAGTTATCATTGTTTTTATTGAGGAAAACCTTTTAAGTCCTATTTCTCCATGATCTAAAGTTAATATATGGATTATATTTTAGATCTATGAATAGATTAGATTTTTCACTGGCTTTGTCACTGGCAATTACTACAGATTTTCGGGCCTACCATTTGTATTCAGTTTAGAGTTTCTATTTTTGTATTCCTCCTGTGTATTTCTAATGTGTAATTGACCACCAAGCAACATATAAAATTTATCAAATACTTCTGATGATATTTTTGGTACACCTATAAAACAAGAACTATTCCAATGATGTCCAATTAAAAAACATAATGAAAAGCTGACCAGACTAGTTTTCATTATATGAAAACTAATACTTCAGATCAACTTTTAACATGAAATTTAACAGTGGTCGAAGCTCCTGTAAGAAGTTATCACGCTCATGCTCAGTCCAATCTTATAGTACACCTGATGCAGACTGTATCAAAGATTGGCCTCTACAAACCTCAGTACATCATTTTTTCATTCACAAGCCACAGTCCTTTTACTGTGTCTTGAAGAATTCAGCAACACAAAAAACGTTAACGAAAGAATGATGTTCTATGTAAGAAAATTGCAACCATTCACAAAGAAAAAAAAGGAACTACCTAAATACAGCATCCCAGTTAAGTTGCTTTCCTTGTTTAGAATCAGAATTCCGGTCCAGCTGGCGAACTGTTTCAGAATCACGGAGAAGTCTCTTGAAATTTTCAACTTCCTTCTGAAAATGTATTTCAAGAAAAAAAAATTTAATTATTCCCTTCATTGCTAATTGAGGTACCCACCCCAAAAGAAAACTTGTTACCCTTCGCTCCACAGCTTTCTCATTTTCAAGGCGACGACAACAAACAAGAAGATCATGCAATGCAAGACTCATGGTTCAATTTAAAGAATAGTCATTTGTATCTGCAAAGAGAAGAAATAGATAAAACAGTAATTATTTAACACACAACCAAGTAAAAAAATTGGAAATGCAAAATATTGAAAATTCAGTTCGGAACACAACCACAGTGTTACATGTTCCACTGAAAAGCTAATTTGTGTCTGGATTAGTGGTCTTATTGGTCACAAGACTGAAGCAGTTTCACATCAAGAATATAATGTACTCCCACAGAGAACAGTCAAAGTCAAAGAATAACTGCAGAGACCCCCTTCACATAACTCTGTCTTCCTTCTTTTTTATGCCTGCTAACAGAGAAGAGATGGGCAGACAATAGGGAATGACATTATAGTAAGATTAAAATAACACAAAGCAAATACATTCCAGCAAGAAGCACTAAACTTTTGGTAGACATCTTAACCTGATGCTGCCAGGAGAAGGTAGCACTTGGAAAACACTCTTCCTCTCTCACATCCTACATTTGCATAGGTCACTACCATGTGACAAATCCCTCTGGACTAAACATGTCAAAGGATGACCAAATGACCACTTAAAACTATGCCTCTTCTCCTTCAACAGAGGTTGGAATCAGCTAGACCTTGCATTTCTGGTTTACATAAAGTTATGCTGCTGCAGATGACAACCATGACATTGTATATGACTTCCATTCTTCTTCTTTTATGCCTTTAAAGCAAGGGCAAGAGGAACCCTTGCAAGACGGATCACACAAGCTGAAGTAACTTCATGCATATGCTGCTGCTGAGGCTGTAATATGCAACTGAGAATGGGCATTCATGACTCACAGCACTGCATCTCAAGCACTTATGCGAGAATATAAAAAGAGCCACTGAGAGAAATAAAACTTTAAATATCTACTCTCTTAGACTGTATTTATTTCCTTCAGCTTCAAACAAGATCAGGCTGGGACTAAGTATGATCAGAAGTTTGGTGACTGATAGATGTGTATGAAAAAGAAAACATTTTAAGTGTGAAGGCTGGCTGTACTGTACAAGAGACCTCACTTAAATTAAGAGTTCCTTTACTAACTTCACAGAATCACAGAATATCCTGACTTGGAACGGATGCACAAGGATCACCATGTCCAGCTCCTGGCTTCTACACAGGACAGCCCCAAGAATCACACCATGTGCCTGAGAGCGTTGTTCCAAGTGCTTCTTGAGCTCTGTCAGGCTTGGTGCTGTAACCACGCCCCTGGGGAGCTTGTTCCAGTGCCCAACCACCCTCTGTATCTCTGGTGGTTGGGCACTGGAACAAAATTAAGCCCAGCAAACCTCCTGCTTTTGCGGGAAATGAAAGGAAGAATTAACTTTTAAACCCTAATGGCTTTTGAAATGTGGATGAGCTGCAAAATAAACCTCGGCAAATTTCCTGCTTTTGCTGGAAACGAAACAGAAAGGAAGAATTAACTTTTTAAACACTAATGGCTTCTGAAATGTGGATGAGCTGCAAAATGCTTGAACGAGAACCGTGGGAACACGGGTCTATTGTAGGGCCTGGGCATCCAAGGGGAAGAAATCAGTCCTCTCGTTCGTACTTAACGGTATTTCAATAGCCACTAATAACAACAACAGTGGAAAAGTCCCGAGACTGACTCCACCTATTTCTCTTACTACTTGCACGGGTTTCCAGCCACTATGGGATGATCACGTTCACCCTCCATATAAATTACACAGAGCGAGGAAGGCACACACAAACCAAATACAATAAACAAGGGAGAGATGCGCTGGCTGAGCACAGGGACACAGGGCAATGCAACCAGTACCCGGCAGCTCCGGCTCCGCAACACTCCCGGGGCCGCCCCCGCCGCATGAGCCGTCCCTCAGCGCCCGCCGCCGGGGCCGCCGCCCCGCCCGACCCCGGGCCCCTCACCTCGGCCGGGTCTGGGCAGCCGCCGCTCCCGGGGCACGGCACACGTGCGGCGGCTGCGGGCGGACCTGGAAGCGGATGAGCAGCGGCGGCGGCGGGTTCCGGCGGAAGGGGCCGGGCGCGGCGCTGGCTGGCGGAGTTTCCGCGCCTTCGCCTGGGTGGCGGGGCCGTCCCAGCGCTCCGGGAGCTGCGCCCGCCCGCGCCCCGCGCCGCCGCGGGCAATGCTGCTGCCGTCCGACGTGGCCCGGCTGGTGCTGGGTGAGTGAGCCGGGCAGGGCGGGAGGGCGAGGCGCGGAGCCTCGGCCGCGCCGGGTGGACTCTGCCGGGCATTGTCAGCCGCCTGCGACGCGGCGGGAGACGGAGGCGGCTTCGCCCTTGACCCTCGGCCGCGTCGCTTGGTCCCCCCCAGGCTGCGATTGTCGCTGCCGGGGCGTATTCCGGGCCCCGCGGTCCCCGGGCTGGCCCCTGCCGCCCTCCAGGCCGGGCTCTGTCGGGAGCGAACGCAGGTCGATCCTGAGGGGCTCGGGGGAGCCCGCCAGGCCGTGCCTGGAACTCGGGTTCTTCACCAGTCCGAGCAAACGTGATGGTCTCCGGTGCCCACCTGCAGACTGAGCTGGTGAGCGGCGTTTCAACAGTGCCGGATTACAGGAGGAATTCAAGAGTGACCCGAAATACAAGGGGAGAAGGCTGTGTTAAGATAGATTTTCTTTCCCGCCCTGTTCGTTCACCTGTGAGGCTGCACTGAGAATTCGGGCGTGATCGCAGTCTGTGGAAGGCACAGCGTAAGTGTGCTCAGGACATTGGCAGCAGTGAATTTTTAAAATGACTCAGTGGTTTGGAATATTTGTATGCTGCCAAAGGTAAAAACAAATGAATGGTAACCAGAAATATGACCCACTGTTGCGACCCGCCCAGAAAAGGGGAAGGTTACCCAGGTTCTTATTAATAAATCTTTTGGGGTGGATTGGAGTGAAAACGACACTGAATAATCGGTGTTTGAAAACATATATATGTAGGGTTTATTTTCGAACAGTTTTATTTCAAAGGTAAACAGATATGTTGCCATTTTGGGTGTTATCATCTGTATCTATCATCTGTAGCAATATGGCATAAAGGTAACCTTTAAGGAAAATGCATAAGGGAAAGGGAAAGACAGGATAAGGGAGAATAAGGGAAAGAAAGGATAAGGGTGGAAAAACGTATATCGTCGTCACCCTCGGTATCCAGCAATGAAACTTGGTAGTTGCAGCTTCCATGTCTGTTAGTTGAAGTGGTAGTCTTGTTCCTTGGAGATGGGGGAAGGAAGCCCACACACCCAGAGAAGTTACGAGTTGTTATATATTTCCAGCTCAGGTGGGAATGCCTTATACCTCCCCAGGGCGGGGAGTTTTTCCGTGGATAGTGTCGCAGGCCATGCCAGGAGCATCCAATGTCTGGGACTGCCCAGGCTAGACACGCAGAGTTCATGTGAAGGGCATGGCAAAAACGGCTCTTCCCGCCTTTTAGGACTCGACCCCTCAGCAGCAGTGGCGGGGGGATGGGCCTCTTCCCAGCCTGCAGAAGTCCCCTGGCGATCCTAGAATGTGTAAATCATTAACCGTTTCACTCTCTGACACCCACATATTTCAGTCCCACACATAAGTACCTGCTGACGCAGGTTGCCAAGATTTCCTGGCACCTTGCCAGTGTGGGATTCAGTTTTCAGTTGTCCACAATTTTTTTGAATCCAAAGCCATTAAGGCTGAATCTTTTCTTCACTGTTCTTCCAGCACAATTTATTTTTAAAAACTACCTGAAATGTTTCTTGCTACTGTCTTGAGAAACAAGGCTAGTAAGAAATGCAATGTTTTTATTATTGTGAAGTAATTGAGGATTTTTAGAAACTCCATGAATTGTAAAAGAAGATTGAAATCATTCAGTGGAGATCTCTCATTGTATTTTTCCATAACAAATTGGTTAAGTTACAAATTTCCATGTAGAATGCTTATCTTGTGTGCTTACCAGAGAGGTGCAGATCTAATACACAGTCTTGGCAACATCATGTGTACCGAGGATGATCCATCTGACTGTCTTGTCTGTTGTGTCTGGCATGGAGCATGCATCATGTCTGGAAAACCTCTGAGCAACCTAAGGTTGTAGAACAGGATATTCCTTGTAACTACTTCTGTTTTCTAATAGGGATTTCTCTTCTGTGAGGCATCTCTGAATTTGGGTGGATAAACAGGCTTCCCAGTGCAGCTCTTCTTCCATCTTTTCTTTTTTACCCTGCCTTGTCTAGACACCCCATCTAGGTGATTTAAAGGTTGATGAATACTGGTTTAAGAAACAAAACTAAAATGGTAAGCTGGGCTCATGCACAGAAAAATGCATAAGAACATTTATCTTTTCCTAATTGAGAGAGTGAATGCATTCTATGAGTTAGACATTTCTTAAGGTAAAAATATGTGCAGAATATAGTGTACCTTTTGTGCCTTTCGTTTGGTTTTGGTGACGTTAGGAATTGTGTACTCATATGTGCCTGCACATATACAGTGCGTGCACAAGCAGCTCGAGTCAGTTGCACAGGAGATCTTAATTCAGGCATTTTTAAACTTAGGAATGCTTTATTTAACAGGAAATTGGTGTATATGCAAAATGTGCCCATACACAAGCATTTGGTCATCCCTTGTGATACTGTAGTAGTAGGTTCAAGAAAGAAAACTTGCAACTTTCTTGATGAGTTTGATTGTAAGAGCGGCTGTACCAGCACAGCTCAGAGCTTCACCTAGCCTAATACCCCATCTTCCAGCCTGGCCAGATGAGGATATAATCGTGTTTTCCCCAAAATACACTTTCAGCTTCCAGCAATTTGTGGCTCAAGATTTTTCTAGGAAAATGTATTTGAAATACAAAATAAGACAGCCCTTTCCACAGGTACCATAATGTTTTCTATCTGATAGGCCAGCTCATACATTTGATTAAACTCATGGTGGTTATTCCCAAACTGTGTTTAACTTTGAAGTTTGCCTGCTTGTTGAAGACCTGAACAAGGGCTTGTGTGTCTGAAATACGACCTGTTTTTTTCAGCTATACTCAGATCTGCCGGAAGGTATTTGTCCTCATGCAGACTTACAGGCCACTTATAGGCATTCTTGAACTGAGGTGGACTATTTTGGGGGTCCATTGAAATAGATGTCCTAATGTGTATGTATCTTGCATTTTATAATTAGGCACATGTTTTACCCTTTCTTTAAAACATTGCATGTTCGGATCTGCTACGAGCAAAAAGGAAGAACCATTTTCTTCCATGGTTCTTTGTTCTCGAGTCCTTCATTCAGATTGATATGTTTCTATCTTTTAATGTTTAAGTGTTTGAGGATTAAAGCAGGGTTAAAAAGTGTGATTAAAGCAGAACATATTTGATGAGGAATGGAATTTTGGAAAAGTAAACTTTTTTAGTATACTTCCTACTAGGGTAACTACTGAGTCTTAGGGTGTGTAGAGGGTACAAGTTGCAGCTAGTACATCTATCCTAAATGAAAACTACTGTAAGTGGGGGAGGCAAACCCTTTTCTGTTATTCATTTTTGTACAATGACGATTTTTTTAATAATTCTTATACTCTGTTGCAACAGCTGCACAGGTTTTTCCTATTTTGAAACAGTGGGATGTGCGGACAATTACTGTTATATAGCAATACACTTTATTGACAAAATATTGTGGATTTCCATGTAAGTATCAGATTGGGTGGTTCAGCTCATGTGAGAGTTAGTATGTCAGCCTTCTGAGCCAAGGACTTTTATTTTTTTGTCTGTACTAAAGATCAATCAAAATTTGTTCATATTGCCTCACTTTCAGTCTTTAATAGTTTGTAAATACAGTGTAATTCCAATATATATTTTTTTGTCTTTCTGGTTTTAACTATTAAAGAAACATGTTTTAAGACATATGTTCTGTCAAAATAACTTCACTTTCCTTTTCTCATACACAAATTTTTACCTGATTATTTCAACACTGTGTGCAGCTTTGATACCTATTGAGCAGAAGTAATGAACAAAATAGCAAAATTTTCCATCTGATTTGTTGCAGGGTATTTACAACAGGAAAATCTTCAAGCTACCTGTCATCAATTTATTTTGGAAAGCTCAGATTTGAAAGAATATGCAGAGCACTGTACAGAAGATGGGTTTATTCCAGCCTGCTTGCTGGTGAGTTTGTATTTGCAAAGCAGAAAGTTATGTTGTCTTGCATCCATGGAAAAGAATATTGGAGATTTTTCAGTGTAAAAATTAATTCTCAAATGCTGCTTAAAATGTTAGGTAGTCCCCTCTGCTTTTTTGGTAGTTTGATTTTTTGGTTTAGTTTTCTTTTGATTTCGTTTGGTTTTTTTTTCATCCTGTGATATTAGCATTTACTTGGTTTCTAGTATTTAATCTTACTAAGAAACATTTAAATGTTAAATATGTAAATTGGTTTCAGCATATTATGTTTAGTCTGCATTACAGCTTTGAGGTTGATTTATGGAAGGGTGTTGTTGCAAAGGATTTATTGATTTCAGGGCTGCTCTTGTAATTTACTGGAGATTGCTTTCCTATTCTAGACATGGAAGCCAATAATGGTCCATTTCAGGTACATATTAAATATTTAGGTAGGGTACCTCAGATTTATCCAAGTCTACCAAATATTGTTGACAAAAACTGGGTTCCACTTCCTCTTTGTTCTGTATCATCTACTTTGTCCGAGGTGAAGGGTGGAACTTGGGATGTGCATAAACACAACGTGTAGCTGCATATGTAGATATGTGGATAGAGCTAGAGTGTGATTAGATAGTTTGCATTTTTAACATAAACAAAATGGGATTTTTAGTATGCTATGTAAATTACAGGTTTTAGATATTGCTATGTATCAACCTTTTAGTGTTTACATGTGCATCTTCTTCATGTTTTCTGCTTCATTCTTCTAATGTATCAATTAATTTCGTGATCTGGGAGTTTGTCCACAGTATTCAAAATCTGTGGATGTTTTTTCTGAGATCCAAGGTGCACCTTCTTGGTGCACCTATTCAAAAGAAACCATTTATTTAATTTACAAGTGTTTAGTTATCTGTACTGTGGGGGTTGGGAATTGAGAACTGAGCTATGGCCAGCAAAAATTAGAAAACCCAGATGTAAATAGATTATCTAGGTTATTAAAGCTTTTCATTATCATCATGTTCTCAGTAGAAACATTTTTCCTATTATTCAGAGAAAAGTGAGGATATGATAGTGTCTAAGAGAAAAGTCTCACTGCAGCTCAAATACTTGCAGTAAAGGACTGTGTTTGTCATACCTTGTAGGGTTCCCACTAGCGAACAAGACAGGATGGTACAGAAAGTGATAGTGGTAACCTTAAAATCTTAATTCTCCTTGTTTCACCTGAAATAACAGGACAAGTAAACATGATATGAAAGTTAATTCTATGTGGCTGTTAAAGTTTTACTTTAGACAGAGATTCTCTTCACGTTTGCATCTTAATACATATTGTGTTCCAGCATGGTGCATAGTCATTACTCTGTTACAGCTGTTCATCGTCTAATTTTTATGTTTTTATTCCATAATAACAAAGGTGAGTGGAGGTCACAGAGCTCTAACTGCTATACCAGTGTTGTGCACTGAGATTGAGCACTTTAGATTTTGTGTACATAATAGCATTTTGTTTCATTGACTGCTCTCTGCCTGGTTTGAGACAACTCAACACCAGCAGCATAAAGTACAGTTCCTTGTGTTGAGGGTTAGCATGGTGTGGAGTTCTAAAGAATTCCTCAAATATAATGTGGTACAGCCGATGAAGTGTAAGTTATCAGTAAAGATTCTAAGATCAGTATTTTCTTTCCAGTCGCTGTGTGGAAAAAACTTGACAACTATTCTTAATGAATATGTAGCCATGAAAACAAAAGGTAAGCCTTCAGAATGAGGTGTTCTTTTATTTTTCTTATTTATCTGTTGTGAACTCCTTGAGGAAGGGGTATATGGCCCCTATTTAAGCTACAAGTTGAAGGTTACCATATTACACAGACAACAGCCACTTAGATCTGCATCTGGTGAACAAAAGTAATTGATTATCTTAGTTTGCGTATGCCAGCATATATTTTCACTTCAAATTTGAACAGAACTTCTAATGTAATAAAGCAGAGATACAAAAATTTGTGCAAAATGTATGGGTTTATGCTTGTGAAATTATACTGTTTATTGTTTATAAATAGGAGGGGGAGGTGCTGGGCTCTCTCTGGTGACCAATGATAAAACATGAGGAAATGGAATGAAGCTGCATCAGGGGAAGTTCAGATTGGACATTAGGAAAAGGTTCTTCACTGAGAGGGTGGTCAGTCACTGGAACAGGCTGCCCAGGGAAGTGGTCGTGGCACTGAGCCTGTCAAAGTTCAAGGAGTGTCTGGAAAATGCTTTTAGTCACATGTTTTAGTTTTAAGTAGTCCTGCGAGGAGCAGGGAATTGGACTCAATGATCCTTATGGACCCCATCCAACCTGAAATATTCTATGATTTTACAAAATAATCAGGAGTCCTATGCTTGGAAATGTTTCTTGTGTTGTTTTTAAAACTAATTAAAATAATTTCAGAATTACTTAATATCTTGTATGAAAATTGGAGACAGAGCTAGAGCATTTGCTGTTTTTAAAAGCAGTTATCCAGCTTCTGAATGTTGCCAAGTCTTACAGGTTTTTGATACGTGTTGTGCGATCAGATTTTAGTGGTGTTTGGTTCTTAGACTTGCAGTTTAGAATGTCATAAGCATTCCTTTCACACTAGGTTTGATAGAAATGGTAGTTAAAACACAAACATACTTCCATCAAAATACTTCGTACTTGGCACCTTGAAAAACTTAATAAATTGAACTGCTTGCTTACATCTTTTCATTTATACTTTTAATGTTCTGTGCTTCAAAAAGACCAAATATTTTTACCTGTTTGGGTAACATAATAAAATAACCATTACTTTTAAAGGCCTGTCTGCCAGGCTACAATTTTCAAGGACACAAAAGTGACTTGGGAATTTGAATGCCATTTCCAGAAACTAGTTGGGTTAGGTTAGCATGTGTTTGCTGAGTAGTCAACACCATGTACAAATTCCATTGAGAATTATAATCATTAATGTATTTGCCTCAGTTTCATCTAGGCTTCTAAAACTAAGAATTGTATCTATATCACTCAAAGTTCTTAAATTAGGAGTTAGGGCTCTCTAATGAATAGAATATTAAGAAAATTACTAGACACGTAAAGTTAGATGATGTCTGAAACACTCCCTAATAATTATTTTGCCTGCGATTTTACTTTTTTTCTCAACAGTTGTCAGTTTTAGGCATCTTAATTTTATTTTTTTTTTGGTGGTTCATTTTAGAAACAACAAATGAAGTTCCTGCAATGATGTCATCTCTGTGGAAAAAATTAGACTATACACTTTCTCAGATCAGGTAATATAGTTTTGAAATCAGGAAAGTAAAATTTCACTCTGGGAGCAAGTCCCTACGTTGGGGACTTGCTCAACTCCCCTTATTGTATGAGAATGGTTTGGCTCTCTGTTGCTTCTGAGAGATGGTGAAAAAGATGGGTATGTGAGAGTAGACATTTCAAGATTTTAAGGCGGGGCTAGGAGATAAGGAGGGCATTAGTGTGAGCATGTGGCCTTCCTGTAGTAAAACAGTATACTGTGGTTCGTTTAGAATCTGATACCTTTGTGGTTACTTCATCAAAAATATGACAGTAAGCTTCATTTGAAGGATCTGTTACCATTGTCTGAAAGAATAAAAATAGTAATCACTTGATGGAAGCTTTCTGAAGGAGTGTGTGGTTGGGACCGGACTGACATTAACCATGTGATAGATACTGTCACACTGTGTGAGTCTGTTGTGCTCCATTAATTATGTCACTTGATTTGTTTTTTAGGAGTATGCAGAGTTCAGATTTTAGATTTTCTGCTAATCAAAGGAGTAAGTAACTGACTCAATTCCATGGGATCAAGAGGTTTTATGTTAAAATTATATGACAAAAAATGGGGAACTGCTGCAGCAATCAGTAATGCATCCTTACTCTTGAAATCTTGTAAAATCTCTTATGCAGTGTTTTTTTCAGTGTATCTGTTGTATTCAGTGTAGTCTGTGGGTTACTGTAATGATCAAGAAAGGAAAATAAGAAAAGCTGAGCTTTTTGCAAGAGGCTTAAATTCTCTATGTAGCATTTTCTTTGCTGAAAACTTTTTAAAAATTTACATAGTTAAAAGATTTAAAAACTGCTGTTGCAGTCCTGAAGCTGTTCACTTAATTTGTGGTTCACAGAGGAACTGAAAATACAACCAGTTCAGTTATGATGCTGTTTGATTTCTTTAGAAGGGGAATATAAAGACATATTACAGTGTTGAAGCACTTTTTATGCACACAAACATATATCTAATCAAAATATGAAAATATACTTTTTCTGTCTTTCATTACAGAAGCGTGAACTCTAAACAAGGAAAAGTTATTTTACTTAAAAATAAATTTTTCTCTATGTAGTATTTCTACTGAGTAACCTGTATAGGAAAAGAGAATGTGAGATATATAGAGCGATTGTTCTTGGATCTGCGATTCACTGCACTGACTGGTGTTCTGTTGTTTGAATTTATCAGATTTAGTCTGTTAAATAAATGCAGATTTACACTGATTTAGCTATTTCAGTTAAGGTCAATTATATGAATGACACATTATGTAATAAAATCTCATTTTGGTGTGATTTATTCCTGTAAATATTTAAGCAGGGGTACAAGCATGGTTACAGTGTCAGTGTGAGTTGACTGTACTTCTTGAATTATTTTGTCTTGGACCTGTAACACATAAGACATAGTTGCTTACTATTTGAGTTTCATTATTTAGTTGTTAAAGGACAGAAGCATTTCTATGAAGCACCCTTAATTAGGTCTTGGAATATCAGCAACCCTTTTAAATTCCTTTATCATATTTTCATCTTGTCTTTATTTCCAGTACGTACAAGAAGTGGAATTGTAGAAATGAAAAGACAGAGAATGCTTCAACAGTCTGCTCCTGCAGGCTCAGGATTGTTGTCAGTAGCCCATCAGTCAGGGCCACAGAATTCCTCTTCTGTTGTGTCTCCTCAAGTAATTCACAGGCCAGCAGTAAATCAAAGTGTGCTGCCACAGACGAGACCGAATATGCTGTTTGTGAGCCAGTCACAAACTCAAGAAAAGATCAACAGTAAGTTGCACACTTTTTTCAATGAAAACTATGGCTATAGATGGAAGTCTTCTAAAACCAGGGCTAATCATCTTCCACCAAAAAGTTTCAGAAAATTTGTGCTTTGTTCCCTTAGCTCTCCAGACTGGTTCAGGAGATTAAACTAAAAGGAGTGCCCAAAAGAGAAATGGTGCTTACATACTTGCTTGCTAATGTGAGTTCAGAGATCAGAAGTGCATCAGTGTGCGATTACTCCGTCCTGTGTTCTCACCCTTACCCAAAACACTTGTTTTGGCAGATAGAGATGTTCCACATCAAGTGGATATTTATTTCAGGATATGTTTAAAAGGAATGGTCTTCATTTTCATGGTAGTACCAAATTATTATGTATGAATTCCGAGGAATTGATTGAAACATAATAAATAATGCTATTTTTCCCTTTATAAAGCAGGAGGTTTCATACACATTCAAGTTCCAACATCACAAGAACGGAAGCTTCATTCAAACTTGCTTTCTCCAGGAAGGCGAAAAAGGTAAACATGAGTGTGGTTTTGGTTTGGTTTGGCTTGTTTTTAAAGATCGTTTAGAAATTATGCAATGTTCTGACCTCTAGTGTAAATTTTCTGACATGGTAGGGTGTTACACATTTAGGAGCCACTGAGGGTGGCCAGGGTGTGATGTTCCACAAAGGAAAGGAAATTCATTAGAGTGATAGGAGGCTACTTGTATAGAGTCAATCTTGACATTATTCCAATATTAGACATAGGCAAATAATCTTGGCGCTGAGACTTAGTATTCCTTCCAAAATATCCTTTTCAATTATAAAAATTCTTAGTATTGAAAAAAATGTGCATTTAATATTGCAAAACTATTGGCTTCAGTAAATTTTGTCAGCAAAAAAAATTCATATTTGCTCTAGAAGTGGTGTGGAAAACTGTTCTTATACTAGTTTTGCATTTTTAATTCTCTGATTCCAATATGCTTTCTTTTTAATGAGTTGACTGGTCTCTTTGTGCTCCATTTATTGTCTTTGACTAAATCCCAGTCGATGGTTTTTCTTACTGTTTTTCCAGACCCTTACGAGTTCATACCCTTTCCAAGTCTTTTCTATTCCTGCATGACTTTTTTTGTATGTAATTGATTTTAATGCTACTGCTGATTGATGTTTTCAGAAGAGCCGACACTGTGATCTCATATAAAAACATTATATTTCCTATTCATCATCTAAATTCTTTCTCAGCCTAACATTTGTTTTCTTCTTTGAGAACAGCTGCTCCTTGAGAGGTCTTTGTTTTCAGTGGTAATGCCCAAATCTTTTTTTTTTGAGTGCCAGTTAATTAGGACCTGTACCACCACTTAAGGTAACATGTAGTGGAAAGGGGGGGAAATACTGAATAGTGGGCACAGAATTCAATTTGCCATTGTGCTGTTTACCCACAGTCTGTATATTTGTTTGTAACTTCTGTGAAGTCGGACACCATAGATGAATATGATATAATGAAACAGGTATCAGCTTTTATTGTATTTTCAATATGTAGTTAATTTTCTGTTGATTAAAATCTGTTGTTTGCTAAGAAGGAATAGAAACGCTTCATTCACTGACCATTGGGTCTATTGTTTGCAGTGTTCTCATAAAATACATCATAAATTTTCTGCAATGTTTCAGTGAATCTCAGAAGAGGAAAAGTATTGGAACATCTGGACCTCTTTCAGCAGCTAGAGGTTCTCAAGACTCTGACGAAGCAGTAACAGAAAAAGAAAGTGAGCCTCTTGAAGAATTAATTGATGGTAACTTTCCAGTGAGTATATCGTTATGGGAAGTATTTACATTTAAAAAACAAATTCAAACTGAAGAGAACTTGTCTCTTATATGTTCATGTTGAGTATTATAGAAATTACCTTTAGAAGATACATGAATTGGTTTGTATTTGGAACTAGCTCTTCTGTGTATTAATCTCATAAGGTTGTCGTTGCTGTGTAGTATTTTGTTTTTCTTGATTTATTTGCTTTGCTAAGGTAGCTGTAGGCTGTTGGAATACAGTAATTCTTTAGAGAATGGAAACCAGAAGGCACAACAAGACTTGCTGTACTTTAGGACAAGCCTTGATATGTTTTAGGAGACTAGAAATACAGGAATGTTTTGCAATGATTTTCATAGCAACGTCATGTCACAGATTGGCTGTCTCTCTGTTACGAAAGTCTTCTCTGTTTGAATTGATTTTTTAAATGTTTTTTACCAGTAAGTTGGAAATTCATCCTCCTTTTCTAGTGATGATAAAAATAGAAACCTGACTGCTTTAAAACTCTTTTCCAGCAACTGGTTATTGAAAATGCCAGAGAAAAAATTTTGAGCAACAAATCTCTTCAGGAGAAGCTCGCTGAAAACATTAACAAAATCCTGGGCAGGTAAGAAAAGGAACCTGTGAACTTCATATGTATTCTTATTTGATTAATTTGTGAGTTCTGAACTAATGACTAATGTATTGCAGTGATGGCAGTGTTGCACAGGCCCCTAAACAGGCAGACAGTGGTCCCACAGAACAGGAGACTTCAATTGATGAAATCCTTGGACTTCAGGTGGGTGTAGGTTGCCCTGTTCACATTTTTTTTAAGACCACGCACGTGAGGATGATCAGTTATGGGAACTATGCTGAACCTCTGTCTGATATCTTGTTATTTGTCTCTGCTTGCCAACACACCTAAGCCTACCCGATGGCTCCGCAGCTGTCCTTGCATAGACGTGAGCTCTTACCTTGTATGGTGCTGGGCAGGTTCGAGGAGCTGAGCTGACAGGACACTAGCGTTCTGCAGGAACTGATTTTGTGCTGGTTTAGCGCTCTGAATTCATTCCCAGTGCCCATACAAGGCAGCATAAGCATGCAGCAGGGTCAAAAGCCAAGGGAATGGGATTGCTTCTGGCAGTAATTTGCTGTTAACATTGCACTCAGACTGGATTTAAGTACACTGTCCCACAGTCATCAGCTGCCTGCTTGTCATTGAATCTTTGGTGCCAGTAATTGGCTACCAGCTTCTGACTGGGGATCTAATCAATAGCCTTATAGAAGAAAAAGGAATTTAAAATATCTTGTCGCCTCCAGAGATGTTTGATCTGATCTGATTTTCTGATTTGCTCTAAGATAAGCTTGGATCTAGTATAGCAAGAGAAATTGGTTTTGGAGCCTAAATAATGATCAAATTTAGTGTCTTCTCACTCTGGAAGGAAATATACGTTCTCCTTCTACAGCCTAAACATAGTTATAGTGTTCTGCCTTCGTCCTCCTGCAAGCCTCAAGCTGGTAATCACAGAATTAAAAAGGACTCTTAATGATTGAAATTACAATCTTCACAGCCCTCATGAGCAGGACAGGAGAGTGGAGGCAGTTGCCCATTTATGAAGTAGAGGTGTCTGGTTTTCAGAAGCTATTCTTCTGTTGCCTGATGACTTTAGGTCAATTGTCAAAATACAGAGCTGAAAAGCTGTATTCCATTTTTCTGAGCAGAACTAAATCAAAACAGCTTCTTGGTTTAGTTAGAGTAGCTCAGACAAAATAAGCATATCACAAGGGACATCCACCCTTACAACCACCATATCAAAGATTGTAGAGTGCTTAGGGGATCTTCAGGAAGTCAGGAGAAACCTTGTATTTGGATGCTTGAGTATGTACTGAGTCCCCCACTCATTCCTGGGCTGCTACTAAACAAGTCAGCTTGAAACAGGAATCTTAGAGCACTGTCCCATGTAGCTGTGCTTTCCAATTGCCCTCCACAGAAAAGTAGTTGAAAGTTATATTATAGAACATGTAATGGGTAAACAAAATTAAACATCCTTTTGCTTATTGGTGGCTTCTGGATACATTCAAACCCAAGAAATTAGGGTTAATTTGGGGATTTTTTTTTTTTTTACCAGTGGTTGGCTCATACAAGCTCACAGGATCCATAGCATTTGCATAAGCTTCCAGTATAGCCTGAGATTTTGTCCTTCTTGTTGGTCAATGCTGGTTGTTATGTGGAGAATACTCCAATATGCATGTACAGAGTGTAGTGTATGACAAGAGACATTTGGGTTTTGGGGAACCTTGTTTCAGTCACTGATATATTTTAACAGACGTGACGTTTGTGGCAGAAATGTTCCCAGCATTAGTCTTTTTGTTTCTGCGCTGAGTAGAAGTAATAGAACTAAAAACAATCTGAAATAAAACCTATTCTTGTCTGTTTTTCTTTTTAAGTTGTGGAAGTAATTGTCTAATAGTTCTATATATCTTGTCTTTTCTCAGGGTGAAATTCATATGTCAGAAGAGGCTATACAGGACATTCTAGAACAGACAGAATCAGATCCAGCTTTTCAGGCTCTCTTTGACTGGTTTGATTATGGTAGGGTACATCACGCTCAATTGTAGTGTTAACTGTGAAGCATCATGAATGATGAGTTTTCCCAAGTATTGCTTGACGAAACGAAGTAATTCAGCAGGCCTTTTTTGCAAGAGAAATAGACTGTATGGCATTGGTGTCCCTCAATTCACAATTAGATTCTTAGATGTATTTATACGTGGCTATAAAGTTCAGCATTTTCCTGGGGCTGAAATTCTGGGTTTGTGTGATTGTTGCCAACAATGACTGTTTTATTGCTGTTATTTTAGACTCTGCTGGTCTAAAGAATGATAGTTTATATTTGTGCTGTTGTAAAATTTTTCTGTTTGTCTGATCAGGGATATTCTCACATTAACTGTAAGGAGATTTTTATGCTATAATTCATTTAAAATGTAATAATCACACTTGTGTGTAAAATGACATATTTAACTGTTCTTCCTGCTTTATTTTGAAAATAGGAAAGAGCAAGGTAAACAAGAACTTACCTGCTGGTATTTCTGGTCGGAGTGGAGTAGAAAATGAAATCTTGGTGGGTGAGGATAGCCTGGAAACATTTGGAAGTTCTTTAGGAACAGAAGAAAGTAGCAGATGTAGGTTTTTTATTTTTTCTTTGAGATTTCTTCTAGTGTGTTCACTTTTCATTATGAAAATATTTTCAGACAATTTGTACATTTCAAACGATTCCTTTTTTTCACTGGTAATATCCAATCTGACGTTTACATTGCATGAACATACAGATACACCTACAGACATGTTCATTGCATGAACATACATATACACATAACAGACACCCGATGTCTTAGAAAGTTTCAGTCTCCCATCAGTGTACTTAAAAGTTGTACTTGGTAAGCTCCTAAATGCAACCATACTACTGGCAAATCTGTTTTCTCATTCAGAACAGAGATACTTTGCAGTATTCATTATGGAACACTTAAAGATAATATTTTACATCTTACCATATTAATCTTTTATCTCTATTCTGTATTGTATCTGTTAATTTATACACAAAAACAGTCCTACTTTGGACAACAGGTATGTTTAGTCTGTCTACACCATTCTTGACAGTAGTGCATCAGCAGCAGATACTTAGTGAAAGTATATGAGAAATAGAGCCAAGAGATCTTTGTCGTGAAATGATTTTTGTGCTTTTGGAAATCTGATTTAGTGACCAGAGCTGTTTGCATGTTATGTGTGCAATTTTAATTATTAATGTACAAACTGATTTTCCAGATTATCAAGTGTATGTAACTGTATAGATTTTCCTCTCAACTTGAAAGTAAGGATGAGTAGCGTTATTCCCACTTAGTTTCATGTGAAACAGTTTTCCATTGAACTGGTAAGTTGTTTCCAAAATGCTGTAAAAGGCTCATCTGTTCTAATATGAAACTAGTTTATTCTCTGTTTTACAGGTGATAATTCTAGAGAATCACTGTCCTGTAAAGATTTTCAGTTAGGAGAAGCAACGTGTGCCTTGAAGACCAGCATTAATGATGATGATATGGCTAAGAAAAATGCAACCAATGAACAGCTGCATGGAAATTGTAGACCAAGGAAGCAGACTGAAGTACTTACAACTATTACCCCTGAACATATTGGAGATCTTGAAATTGCTTTTGACTCTGTGCCTGGTTTGACTGAACCTGACAAGAGACAGAGTTCTGACAGCAAATGTAATGAACACTGTGCAGATACTTATGTTACAAAAGAGTCCTCTACATTAGTGTCTGAAAGTGAGAGCGCTATGGAAATTGAAAAAGGCCCACCAAGTCATAGTTCTCAAAGTAGTCCTAGTTTAGAATATGTTCGTTCTGGTAGTCCACAGATTTCTTTGATTTCATTGACAGAGGATACTACAGCCAATGAAAACAAAACTCATTCTCCAAGTAAATGTCAGTTATCACCAGATACATCACTGTCTGAAAAAACACTTTCTGATGGGAGCCTTGGCCACAGTGTACAGCTGAGAAAAAACAATTCATCCATTTCTAGCCCATCAGCAGATACAGAAAAAGAACAGATTGTAACAAATGATACAGCTGCCTTACCTGGTGTTGTACAGGAGAACTCTGGTCACCACTCTGGCCATCAGGAACAGAGCACCCAGCCAAACTGTGCTGCAGGATCTCCAGGGGAAATTTCGGATCTTGACAAAGCGGAGTTGCAGCTGGAAGTTGTTGATACATCTAACAAAACTTATTCAAATGATCAGCATACACTTGATAAGCCTTGTAAGAAGGATTTTAACCTCCCTTCAGGACCGTCAAACTCAGAGGGTACACAAGGGGAAATGCAAGAACCTTCCTCTTCTACAAAAGTAGATGCCGATAATTTATATTTCTCTCCTGGTGATAAAGCATGTTCAGAAATTTCTGTAGTATCCACTGAAAATAATCTTACTACCTCTGAAATATGCCCCTCTCCTCTCCCAGAAACTGCATCCTCAACAGATGAGTCAGGTACTGAGGCCAAAAGTATAAGCAGTGTATCTTCTAGTAGTCAACCAATGGATGTTGATCCTTCTAATATAATGTCCCTCAAAATCATCATCAGCGATGATCCGTTTATTTCATCAGACACGGAGATAAATAATGCTGTTTCCAGCATCACAGGAGAAAATCTGCCTACTATAATACTGTCATCTCCAGCCAAATCCCCAACCAAAACTGCAGGCCTGTCCAAATGTCTGACTTCAGAAGACACAGAAAAAAATGTAGATTCAGCTGCCTTGGCAGAGCAGAATCTTCTTGTGCTTAGACCTAAAGATCCTGTGGTCACCTCAGTTAACACTCAGAATGAAGACTGCACTGGCTTTTCAGTTGCGGGTTCAACTCATCTTTCCAACGAAGGGGGCCTTATACAGCTGATGCCAGCAACAAGCACAGCTTTTGGGAATTCAAGCAACCTTTATATAGCCACCTGTATGACTGATCCAGCAACCTTGGGCACAGCTGTAACACCATCAAATGTAGTTGTATTGCCTGGCGGTTCCATGCCACTTGCTTCCCAAGCTCCAGCTGTACAACAGTTACAGACTCCTCCTAGATCGAGTAATACGTTTCCAGCAAACCAGACTGTCTCCCCAAACTTCCCACAAGGTAATCTCATTATTAGAATATTAGGGAAAATGTGGTGTTTATATGGTGCTTTCCTTTTGGCTAAATAAAACAGGTTTTTGTTTTAATAAGATTCCTGTTATAAATGGAGTGCTACATGTTATAACCATCCATACTGAGATTAGATAACTGGGTAGATGTAGCTAGCCCTTCCCAAATTACTTCCTTGGTTTTGTTTCATTTTTCAAAATCCTTGTCTGCATTAGAAGTACATTTAGGTAAATATGACAGTATAAAATTATTTCTTTCCATGATATAAAATCTCCTGATACAAGCATTTTTATTAATACAGCAGTAAAAATTTCCAAGTGCTTTTTAGAATGTTATACCCAACTATAAATCACCTGTAATCAACACATTTAGATTTCTTTCCAAAGCTAAAAACTTGCTGCAGTTACCCTTGAATTTCAGTGTGTAGTCATTTTGTTGTGATCAGAGGCCAGTGCAACAGTATGTGCAAGATCTTAAGAGTGCCAGCTTTTTCTGTCAATAAGATTTCTTTATGCAATTATTATCTTAATTGTTTTTTCAGATAGAGAGAAACAGTTTTCTTCACTTTTGAAAATTTTCTTCCACTTTTCAATGAATGTGGTATGATAGTTTCCCTATGTTATAATTCACGTCTGCCTGGCAGCCAAATGAGCTCTTTGATGTCACTTTTACTAGTTTTTATACATTACTTTAAATCAAAGTTTAAGCCTTAAGATAGGTTTATCGTACTTTAAGCTTAATTTTGAACTATTTCTTGAAAAGGAGAACAGACTTTAACTAAACTAAAAATAACACTGGTAGTTGTCCTGTTTTCTAGTAGTGCTATATAGCAAGGACAGGGAAGTTTTTGTAAAAAGCTGCACCTTTTCTTGCCACAGGTTTAGCCATGCATAATTTTAATGAGTCCTGTCTTGAAGCTTTTCTTTTCACTGAAGTACTCTTAGTTTCTGTACGATTTTAACACTTTTATATTTTTTTAGGTTCTGCCATTATAATTGCTTCTCCGGTGCAACCAGTTTTGCAAGGAATGGTGGGAATGATACCACTCTCAGTAGTAGGACAGAATGGAAATACATTCTCAGCACCTGCCTGCCAGGTAGCACATCGCAAATAAAGATTTTCAAAATTAAAGCAGAAGTGATAAGAAGTCTTTTGGTGAATTGTAACAGACTATTTTGATCCTTTCAAGGTTCTGCATATGCCTGTGGCTAATCCGGTGTGCAATGGAAGTGTCCCAAAACTTCCCATCCCTCCCAAATCACAGAAGATTCCTGGACCAAGAAACAAGACTAATACAGGTACCCACCTTGCATTCTTGAGAAGGGCAGAAGAAAAGTGGGAGGGTTCTAAAGATGTGTCAGTTCTAAGTAATAAAGTTTTATAAATACCACTGCTTCTCTGCCAGGCAACTGCTGGGATGGCTTTGAGAGAGGCCTGTACCTGCAGTTAGTGACTGTATTTTGCCCGGTTTACAAAGAACTTCCAGCGCATAACATAATTCCAGATCTGGAATCAAGCTTATTTCCAAATTCTAATGCTTCAAGGCTATCATGCAGTTTTAAAAGTTTACTTTTCTTTGTATGTCTGGTAATTTTTCATCTTGTTAGTTTTAAGTCCATTTTACTGCTGCCATTGAAACCAAGCTACATGGTAGCAAAGGAGATATTAGATGAGTTGGCAGTGCTAAAAATTTATTAAGGAAAATATTTAATAGAAGTGTTGCATATTTGTACAAAAAGATGCACTCTGCTGTTTTCACTATGCCATTTTAAGTATATGCTTCTGTATATTTGTTTTATTGAGACCTTGCTTCTTTAAATAGTTAATTGTAACAAGACTGGTGCTACATTCAATTCTCAGCACTGGGAAGGAGTAAGTAAAAATAACTGAAAATAGAAAAATTGAGTTATAAGGGCAACTTGTGCTTTAGCCTGTCTACCTTTTTAAAAACCAACAGGCTTATGCATAAAAATGAAAACAGAATGAAATTTCAAAATTAAGAAAAAAGCAAGGATTGTATAGTTAGTTTGCATTCCTTTTTGCCAATGGATAAATGAGAGTTCTCTGTGTTATTTCCTTTCTACTTGGAAATCCCCACTGTGCATTTCTAAGTCCAGTCGTGCCAGGCCTATGTATTATCTAGGTGTAGACAGCAAGCTTCTTTTCTGTACTTAGTTGGTGACCTTTGGTAATCTACTAATCTGTAAACTTTAAAGTTACAAAAAAATTGCAGAGTTTTGTTGCTGGGTTTTCTTTACTGGTTGGTTCTCTGTCAGGTGAAATGGCATTGTACTAACTGTGAAATTATTTACTTGGAATACTGTAGTTCATTCATACTTCATCTGTTGTTGCAGGAAAACTGGTTCCAAGTGTAGCTGAGCCTTTGAACCATACTAATTCTCGAACACAAAGGTCAGTAGTGTTAGGTATTGAAACTTGCTTTCTTTTTCCTGCCATGAATTTCTTCGTTCAGTATCGGTGGAAAAGAGAGCAGCTTTTGTTAACAGTGGCAGAAGCAGTACCCCCTTTCCTCCTGCCTATCTGCAGGAATATTGATACAGATGTCTGCTTGTACTGGTGCAGCCTGTGCTAGGATTTTCTTGTTCCTGTTCCTATGTTAATTTTGTATGGCTTTGTGTTTATTTTCTCCTGTCTCAGTTGTTGAATACAAATTGTTTGGGTGGAGTCTAAGCTAGGGGAAATTGCTGGTTACATTTACTGGGAGACTTAAATGACTAAAATTTCTGTTTTTTCTTTTCAGATGAGTGGTAACCCATGGTTTTGTAGTGTAGTCTCATTGCCTTTACCGTTTTCTAACCCAAAACCAGTAGTTTATTAGATTGGGTTCTGCATCTGTGTTTCAGTTTTGTGGATTAGAACAGTGCTTAGTCATTTAAAAAGTGAAAACTCAAAGATGGCAAGGACAACAGCACGCTAACTTTATATTGATAAACCTAACAATTGCTGATTGGGGTAGGTACTAGTTTACTGTTGGGCAAGGGAGAGAAGAAAGCAAGGCTTCAGTAGTGACTTCTTATCGTTAATGGACTTCAGAAACCAAAGGATGTTGGAATGAGCAAAAGAGTGTAGGAGGAGATAAGAAGTTCAGTTTAAATATTAGAGGTGGAATGTTCTTTTATTGTAAAAATAAGACATACCAAAAAAATCTACCTATTCAGAACTCAGTTAAAATGTTGGAAAAGTGGAGGAAAACAGGGACAGTAAAGTCAACTTATTAAAAAACCCCAGTCATATACCAAGGTATACAGCACATATGCATGCAAAAAGCAGTTATTTTTAAAAAGCCACAGAAGCAAGATTTTGGATACTATCACTTTGATAATTCAAGTTTCCATTAACTTTAATTGATTTCTCGACATATGTTTTGCAAAATGTTCCCTGCAAGGAGATATAGTTTCCCATTTCTAGTCTCCACGCTCTGTTTCATCTCAAATTTCATGGAACTAAAACAAACTGCTACCATCCATACCTTCTTTACTATCCCAAAGGCACCAAAGATAGCATCCCAAAATTAATTTGACTTTTCCTCTTAGGAGTCATAAAGGCTTATCTGCATGGGGAGAGTCTCACTAGCATAGATGAATGATGCAGAAGCTTCTTGTGAAAATGCAGCATAAGCCAGGCAGAGGGCACAGACACAGCAGTGGTATGAGCTGACAGAGCAGAAACATTTTTCTTTTTTGACATTGCTACTGCAGTGGTGGCTTTTTCACTTGAATGTGGTTGGTTGTCAGGTGGAGACCAAGCCCCAGGGAGTTTGTATATTGTTGTCCAGATGCCCATTGGAAGTTTTGTCCTGCTCTGTATCCTGTCACCCACAGCAAATACATAGGGGAGAGTTCAAGGCATGCACATGGTGACATTGCCCAGAATATTCTGGCAGCCTCTTAGTAATTTCAGCTCCAAGGACTTCCAGAGCCTTAACTAATATTCTGGGATGGACTGTACTGTCATGAATGCACCCAGTTTCTTTTTGTAGCCAAGTTAACTACCATAATCTACAAATACCTCAAGGTAAAAAAGTTCTCAGGTGAAGTTACATGCTTAGTTACATGCAGTGTCCAGACCTACTTGTTGTATTTTGAACCTGATCAATACTAGTTTTACTCAATGCCCCTAGTTTTTTGACTGGAAGAGGCAGCAAATAGTTTCCTATTTGAGGGCTATTTTCACAGAACTTGGTTGCATTTTGCCTCAGTCCTCTCTCTTTCCAGACTGAAGAGTCCCAGTCTACCTAACTGTTCCTTGTACAGACTCCATTTCATACCTTTTTGTCAAGAAAGCCTTCTCTGAGCTTTCTGCCAGTTGTCATCCCTTTCTCTTGGTCTTTGCCTGTTGATAAAATACTTATATTTAGAATGGAGAGAGCTTTAAACATGTGTTTTGAGGGGTGGGTGGAGATTTCCAGCCAGCTCAAACGAACTTGCCTAGTAAGAATAAGTGTGTTGATGAAGTGTTTTCATCTCATTTTCAGGACTGGAAACTGGGACAAGCTTACCAGTGCAGAACTAGGAAGGAAAGTGGAGGAGAACTTACCTGTTGCACCAGTAGAGAGCACAAGCTCAAATTCAAGACAAAGTGAGAGTCACAGGAGAGTGCTTTGCTTTGATAACCTCCTACCCACTCCAGGAGGAAACACCCAAATTCAGACTACTAAGAGTTCATCCCAAAAAGAAAGAAACGAAAATACTTTATTTGCTGTTGACTCCGCATCCTCCTCTGCTAAGGCACAGGTGCCAAAGAGAGAGAAGGATAAAACGTTGCCCAGAATTCTGTGTAAGCCAGAAGCTGGTAGCAACAGAAGCACATCTGCAAAGGAGCTGCAGCCCGAGCGGAAGGTGGCAACTGCAGCACTGTCACTGGATCCCTTCCACAAAACTACAGCAAATAAAGAAAACGAATTACGAAGGGATACTGATGAAAAGCTGAAGAACCAGGACACTGCCAAACTCTCAAATGGTCAACAGAGTGTTGGCTTATGGAATGAGAAGACAGTTGCTTCGGTGCAAGAGCTGAACAAAAAGCAGGGATCACTGTCCAATGGGACTGGAAATAGCAAATCTTCAGGGCCTGTTTCTTTGTCCTCAAAGGAGCCAAAGCGAGAACCAGCTAAAGTTTCCAACCAAGGCATTTGCCTGTCAAGTCCATTCAGTAAACAGTGTGTGGAAATGTTACAAGACATTCAGTGGCAAAGCCCAACTGGTAAAACAGTTGAAAATGGAGAGTTGCCAGTGCCCCGTACGCCGTCTGGAGTCGGGGACAGGCACACGGATGATACCACAGACAGTGTACGGACACCGACCTGCCGGCGCTTCAACGAGGACAGCACAACCCCCAGAATCATGGTACCCCCTGCCACGCCAGACCTGCCTGCCTGCAGTCCTGCCAGCGAAACAGGGAGTGAGAACAGTGTCAGTATGGCAGCTCACACGCTCATGATCCTGTCGCGGGCAGCCATCGCGAGGACTAGCACTGCCACCCCCCTGAAGGACAACACTCACCAGTTCAGGTCTTTAAGGAGCACAGTAAAGAAAAGGAAACTAGAGGACCTGAATGAGGGTGAGAGAAATTCTCGTTCTGCAAATAGGAAAGACCTTCAGAGCTCTCCAACACCATCAAAAAAGAAGAAAATAAAGGCAAGTGCAAGCATTTACCTTTTTTAATTTAAAATCTAAATATATATTAGATATCTATCTGTATATTATTTGTAATGGAATGGTTCAGAGATGCTAGTGGAAATCCCTGACAACCTATTTTTATTTGTCAGTTTTTCTAACTTTGCTTCTCTGAACTAAGTTTTCTTAAAACTTAATCTGCAGATGCACACAGGTAATTCCTGCTGACTCTCTAAATACATACCTGTGGAAATTACATTATTTCTCCTAAAACACAAATGAATTTCTAAATTCTAACTTCAAACTACATTCTAGGGAATGTAAGGAATTAGGCCAAACTCAAAATAGGCCTTACTAGAATTCAGGCTGTTTTTACATCCTCATTAATCACCATGAGTAGGAATTCCTATTTTGTGTATTCCCAGTCTCTGTAGTGTGGAGCACTGTGCCCTTGACTTGAGGATTTAAAGGGAAACTTGCTAAAGTGTAAGACACAAAAAGGTGATGTATGTAAATAACCAAAAAGGAGTGTTACTTTGTAATTCCCCATGCTTAGTTCCAGCATATTCCTGAAATACTGTGTCTGGAAAAGGCTCTGTTTCTCACAGTGTGTCTGTGCCTAGCTCCGAGGGGCTGTGCCAGGCTCAGCTGGGGTGGGCTTCTGCTGAAGCTGAGCTCAGCTATTCCTGTCCCCTGACTGTGCCATTGGTACCCAGTGCATGTCAGTGCACACGTCAGTGCAGGAGCACTGCGGTGTCTGAGCTCGGGGTAAGATTTGTGCAGGCATGTCTGTGAGGGAGATGGAAGGATGAGGAAGAAAGGAATGCTTACAGGCTCATCAGTGCCCTCGGGTCCTTAGTATTTAACACACCTCTTACTCTCTTCTACAGAAAAAGAAGCTACCAAATTCTTTTCCAGCAGGAATGGATGTGGACAAGTTCTTGTTGTCTTTGCATTATGACGAATGAACAAAAAGAAGTTGAACTGGGACTGTCTGAAGCTCAGTGGAACGATGATGAGGTTTTGCATGAGAATCGAAGTTAACTCTAAAGGGCAAGTTGCACTTTGAGTGCACTGAAGTTTCACTTTATAGCAAAGTTGTGCTGTTTCTGAAGCAGGTTGCTAAGTGTAAATATCATTGAGTTGGTATATGTTTATTTTTGAAAAAGCACTTGCATAATTATAGAGCCATTTAATTTGCAAAATTGTAAATTTGTGTAAATGAAGTGTAAGAAAGGTTGCACATTTCACGTTACACCACGTTGTCTGTGTTCTGCTGCTTTCTCTACTTGCCCCATGAACCGGTCAGCCAGTCTGTGAAAAGGTGGTGAATTTGAAGGTAGTGTTTTATCATTCACCATTCTAAGACAAGGGCAGCTACCTTGGCCACTTCCCATTGTCTTGTTGAATCCAAAAGGGACTTAAATCTTCAGATCTAACTGGCTTGTACTAACACTCTCTTCTCTCACAACTGTCAAACCCATGTCGTAAGGCTTTGAATGAGTTAACAAAAACACCGGTATCTAAACATACAGCAAATAAAACCTCAAAAAGCATTTCTCATCTGATGAAGCTTTTCCCAGCCAGTCCTTCAGACAAGAACTTTAATTTGGATAGGCCTCATCTGTTTACAGTATTTGCTGCATAGGATGTAATTTGAATGCAAAAGCTGTTTACAAACCATGTATTTTTGTGTGGGGTTATACCCCAGTATGAATACTTAAACTGGAGCGACAGCAGACATGACTGACAGTGTGTTCTGTTGCAAAAGTCAATTCTTTCACCTGTCTTTTGTACTGCTGAGAAGTTTGTTACTATCTATCTCTTACATTTTTAGCCAGACATGAAAAAATTTGCGTCTGATTTTTCTGTTTAACATAGAGGTTATCATTGCTATTATACAAACTCTCTTCAAGTGGGGTGCAGGAGAAGCTCAGCCTGCATTTTACTAATAACTAGCATGGGTTGCTCCGAAATGGCAGAATTTTCTCTATTGGTCTTTCTTCCTGTGTTCTCAAATTCTTGAGGTCTTAAAAAATGCAAGTTTTGTTTTAAGAGTTCTGTACAGCAACAGGGCAATGTTTCAGATAGAATACAAGGATTCCTAAGGAACCAATATTATGCAGTAGATGTTTATATTAAACCCATCCAATAACTAAATACTGCATAGCATTTACAGCTTGAATAAATATTTTTGTTTTAATAAAAATTTGTATGTCTTGCTTAATGTTTTTAAGTCCATGAAGCAGATTTGCAAATATTGTATAGAAAAGTCATGTTGATCAGTCATATTTGAAGACAGAGAGTCGAGTATTAAACACTAAATTCTAATACCAATTGTCAGAAGGGCTAGGGCAGGCAAGTGAAAAATTGCCATAAGCATAAAATGCTTAATAGTATTGACAAGTGATAGGTGATATTTTAAAATAATTTGCTCTTTATCTGAGACCTAATGTAGCTCTTCCATGGGACAGCTACTACCCACCATAATGTTTCTTCTTCAGTACAGGTGATCTGGAAATACTCAAGACACGAATTATGAGTTCACTTTGAAGGGGTCTTCAGTTCCAAGCTGCTGTCATACAGCAAATAATTTTTAGGAGAACAAGTGGAAGAGCAAGAATGAATGTTAGTTTTCTTAGATTGTAGTGTTTAAAGCCCACTGTTCATTTACTACCTCTACAAGTGCATTCCTTCCCAGAAAAAGAAAAGTTCCAGTACAAACCAGTCCAACTATTTGGGGAGGAAAATATTAGGACAATTAATTTGTTCATTAGTTCCTGTGAAAACTACTGTCAGATTTGCATTTGAGCTGGGTTCAAGGTCCACAACAGTAGAAAACCCACCTTTGATTAATTTATTTTTTTCCATGAAAATCACTTAGTAGTTAGAAAAATTAAGCAGCAAAACTGTAAGAAAGAGCAGTTCCTAGTAGCAGCACTCTGAGTTACCCAGAGAATTCCTTTTCAGAGGCCTTTGAGAAATGAAACCAGTGACAGAGAAGCCACTGTTACATTCTTTATTGTCAGGTCTCAAGACATAATTTGACATTACTTATTTGTACTGTACAAAAACTTGCACTGACAAAGTAATAAAAACCCAGTTATCTGGATCAGTAATCAATGATGCTTTAAGAAATAGCAGTTACAGAATTCATCCATCAATTGATAAATAAGATGTTAACAGCTACCACTGATAATTTTGATCAGAGAGCATGTAAGGCTGTGTTTCTGATGGTGTAGCTGTTCTGTAGCTGTGTTCGCGCTACAGCTTCTCTATCAGTATTGCAGAAGCACCTCCTCCTCCGTTGCAGATTCCTGCAAGACCATATTGTCCTTGTTTCAATGCATGGGCCATGTGAACAACAATTCTTGCTCCAGACATTCTAAGTATAAGAAAAAGAAAAGTTATATAGCTTAGTTTAAAGGAAATTCTTAATTTGACCCACAAAGGATAGTGGGCAGAATATAATACCCAAAAAAAGACCAAACCAACCCTTTCATCTACAGGTATATGTGATACAGATTATTCCTCTCTAGCTATGGTACTTAAACACAAAGGTTCTTACACATGCACAAACAAAAACTCCATTTTTATGTAATAAAGTTTCTTCGGGAAAAAGAAATCACCTCTATGTCAGCCTATATATATTATAAAGTATCTCTATATGTAGCAAAGCTCTTTCAAATAAGATAACAAATCTACCACAACCAAATTGATTGTAATGATTAAATTCAAACACTTTCTTATTTGTTTAAAACTTGATACAGCTCAGTGTCCTACTTTGCCTAATGTGAAAATCAGACATGTAAATTCTGTCAAAATTAACTTTTAAGAAAAAAAAAAGTCATATTCCTTTATCAGAAGTAGTTGATATGGCAGAGGAGATGCCAGCACATCCTGCAGGATTATGCCTTGATTAGAGCTTTTTAGGAACTATGAAGTGCTTCTATTGCTCCTGCTGTACAATCTATGCTGGACTGTGCAGCGTGATCACTCCTGAGGAGGTTTAATGGGATACACTTTAGTTATGAGTAAGTGACAATGGCTGGGGAACACAGCAGGTGATCTAACTAACCAGAAGACAGAACTTAAACACAAGACCCACCACCATCCTCCAGACTGTCCCTGCCTTCTGCATTAGGTGCTGGGAGACACCTGCGTTCACTGCCAAAAATCCTTTTACGAGACCTGGAATTTCACTTTGCTCATGTAAGAAAAATAAAAGTCCCTGGACCATTAAATTCCCTGGAAAATAGGTTGGCTATTTTAATAAGGCTACCTGTAAATTTTGCTGGCTTAACTACTTGATTAATTATTATTGTTTATTCTGTCATGTTAATAGGGATTTGGTTTAGTACTTCATAAATCCATATAGCTACAGTAACAAGTAAGATCTTTATAAAAGTAGGTGATAAGAGCATTTTTCTCTTCGTGGTTGGTTTTCAAGATACCTTCAAATTTAACACCTGTCAGAGGAAACTACATACTTGATAGCAAATTTTTTTTCCCTTCCTACTTCCATTAAACTTGAGAAAAAAGGTAAATGTGTTAGCAGTTTACCTATAAAACAATGCCCCTGTGCAGAACAAAACCCAGTGCTTATTTTACTTACCCTATTGGATGTCCAAGAGAGACGGCGCCTCCATTAATATTTACTTTTTGTGGATCAATGCCCAGCATTTTAATATTGGCCAGCACCACAACACTGAATGCTTCATTAATTTCCCACATTGCAATATCTTCTTTTTTCAGGCCTGTCTCACTTAAAATCTAGAAATAACAAAAAATAATTACTACTATGAAAAAAGCTAGGAAGCTAACTATAGAAATAATCAGGTCTGTTATACAGAAATAATCAGGTGACTCAGGCTGCCCATAGTCTGATTCAAATTCCCATTTCGGAACCTCTTTGTCAGATGAGAAAAAGCAAAACTGAGGTACTGAAGCACAAACTTGAGTTTTCCCAAAAAAAGGAATGCCTATGCCAAGGATACATTTCCGTCACACTTACACAAAGAGCACTGCCATGGTAAGTACATTTAAACTGACACAGTACTGCCTCATGCCATACACTTCAGTTCCTTTTAGAAAGAGTCTATCCTTGTATCACGAGCTGCAAAGCTTCAAAGGTGTAAACAAGCCCAAAGTTGGTAAAAGTAGTATTTTCTTTCAAGATAGGTGTGAGAAATTTGTTAACTCTGAAGATCTGCATTCTAGCATCTGTTCTTTGACCTTACAACATAATTACAATTTCAGTCCTAATTACAAGAACATCCACTGAGGGATGAACCAACAATGCAGTGCTAGGGAAGTTTGCTTTTGTTTTATTTTCCTCTCCAGAAAACACTGAGCTTTATTCCTACCTTAGGAACAGCATATGCAGGTGCAATTGGGAAATCAATAGGATCAACAGCAGCATCTGCAAAAGCTGTAAAAAAAAAAAAAAACAACCAACAAAAGGTGTTTAAAGACCTTTTGTTTTTACCATACATGATTTTCTTTCATGCAAGCAACAAACCTTGCCAAGATAGAAAAAGTCTGAATATAATGATTGGAATGAATGAAATGAAATAGAAGCATCTAAAAATGTAGTGCCCTAAGTGAGCCACACAATATTTTCAGATTTTTAGTATTATTACATACAGAAAATTCTGTTCATGATCAAAAGCCTGATGGTGTAACACTTGAAATTTCAGGGACTGTATGGAGAAGATGCAGCCATAATGTCACATAACCAGTAAAACAGGACTCCCAGTCTGAGAGCACACTTTGAGAGTGTTTTTCAGGACTACAGCCAAAGATAAGGAAAATCATACCTACTATCCTTGCCAAGGGTTTGACTTTCAGTCTCTTGGCTGCCTCTGTAGTCATGAGCACCAAAGCAGCTGCTCCATCATTCAGAGTGCTGGCATTGGCAGCTGTAACTGTTCCTAGAAAAGGTAAAACATTGTCTGAGCAGAGGTGAAAGTGTGATGCGAAACAGCTCACGTATATCCTGTTAAGGATTGTTTTTCCCTTTGTTTATTGAACATAAGGTCTCAACAATATGGTGATACCTGTTGCATTGAGTTAACCAAGTTGTTTTTTTAAATCGGTTTGATTAAACAAGCACAACCACAGGTATTTGTATCTTTATCCGGGTGCTGGTTTAGATCATGCCTAATGGCAGCTGCACTGCTGGCATTAACACAGGCAACCTCAAGTTAGACAGAAAGGTTTATCGCTTACGGATTCAGGGAAGCAACAGGCAATGCTCTCAAGGCCCTCCAGCTCCCACTGAAAGAAGAGCTTACACCTGGCAGAGATCAAGCCAAGAGCTACATTGAAACCAAGCTGTTCCAGTCTTTTTAAAGTAAATGTTCAAAACAGAGGTTTTCATTTGTTTAAGCTTCTTGGACTATCTTTTAATCCAAGCCAGTTCGTGCTGTTGTGCAGCACGCTTCTATATCTCAGCAGACATTTAAAAATCAAGGGACTATTGTTGGGCTCTCAAGCTTTTCTGAATAGTACTCTTCACTGTAACAAAGTATCCCTGCACTTGGCAGGAAATTAAGCAGTTCATTTAACAACATTTACCGTTTTCTTTTTGGAAAACAGCTTTCAGCTTTGGAACTTTACTGAAATCAACACGTTTGTATTCTTCATCTTCTTTCACTTCCACATCTGGCTTTCCTGAAATTCAGGACTGGTTTAGTATTTTGTGGAACACTCCATTCTTAAAACACTCTAACACAGTACTTTGATTAAATGCTGGCTTATTTAAACAACTTATTATTTTGGTTAAAAAGTATAAATGCGTGTAAAATGCACATCAAGAAAGGTGCTTATGAAAACTGAAGAAAAAAAATTACTCCTTAATAAAATTTAGTCACAGCAAATCCATTTATACTTTCTGGTGGCTGAACAAAGGAGACAAAGAACATATCTTTAAGTTAAATTAAAACACAGATGTCCTTAAGCCATAGTAGCTAAATTCAATAGGTAGTCTTCTACTTACACACAAAAGGAAGAAGATATGGTGTGTAACATTAAAGAAAAATTAAGAAAAAAAACCCAGGTCACTGACCACTGTTCACCAGAAAGTCTGTCTAACAGAAAATTCTTAGCTGATCTAAAATTAATATTCCCAAGATCTGCATGTTAAACAAGAGTTTGAATACAGACAGTGTTACAGTTTTCAATGAGAAACACAATTCATCTCATCACA